GGACCTTCCGGTCAGTAAGTTCGCACTCTCACTAATTGGCCCATCTCGCTCCGCTTTTATGCGACGATGAGGCTCGATCTTCGACAGCCGCTCTTTCTTTGGCGTGTCTATTCGAAAGATACCATCGTACGGTGTCGTTTTCATCGAACTCTCCTGGAAAATCTGAGAAACGTACTCCTTGTTCAGATTGTAAGACGATCTTAGAAAAGGATATAACGAGCTTAACGAAGCACTCTGCAGGAGGTTACAAAAGCTCCCTCAATGAACGGCTTCGATTCCAGGGGGAAAAACAGCCACTGCTGTGTAGCTGCGGTTCCCTATTTCTGAGCGACAATCCAAAAAGAACAGGTTCGTTGAGTATCTTCATCACCGTCGACGTCGGTACAATAAATGCAAGTCTTGGTCATATCTGCCATACAGCCATGTGTTTGACGGCTGCAGGTGTGTTGCGATTCTGCCAGAACACCCAGCGTAAACTGCTTTAGAATCTCAGCGACAAGGCNTGGCGAGCATACTACCCCGCGTTGAGAACATAAAGAGCATTGTTACAACATTTTTTCACTTGTGCCTTTCAGGTGAACGACAGCCACTGACCGACAAGAACAAAAGCGACCCGGGAAACTTGGGTAATAGCCTCGATCCTGTGTATCAATCTTTGAATCCGTGAGTCCGTGAACGTCATGAACCAATGGGGTTGTAGACGCTGGGTAGATATATGAGCTGACCGCGCGCGTCTCAGTTTGCTGCGCTCTTTTTCGTTGTTGCACATGTAGTTCTGGCGGAAGCAATTGACCATGAATTCGAAACCAGCACCTATTAAAGTTTCGGTGAGTTATCTCATCAAATGGTTACATTTGCCTTTATAACAGAATGTCGACCCGGAAACAATGTTCGACGTACAGGAACGTATCGGTCGTGGCTCATTCGGAGAGGTTTTCAAGGGTATGAATAAACGAACTAGAGAAGTGGTAGCCATCAAACTGATTTATCTTGAGGCAGCCGAAGACGAAATTGAAGATATTCAACAGGAGATTCTTGTATTATCTCAATGTAACAGCCCACAGATAACAAAGTATCACGGCTCCTACCTGAAGGACACTACTTTATGGATTATTATGGAGTATCTAGGTGGAGGGTCTGCTTTGGACCTGATGAAACCTGGTCCGATACCAGAACTCTACATCCCAACTATCCTCCGTGAAATTCTAAAAGGGCTGGATTATTTACACAGCCAGAATAAAATCCACCGTGACATCAAAGGTATGTTGGATTTGACTGTGAACTTGCATTGCTTGCTTCCTTGTTTCCTCCATGTGAGGTCAGCATCTTCCAACTTCCTAAGGCTCATGAATTTCGTGCTCAACAATACTAGATTTAGGTGTAGTTTTGCCACCCAACGCGGCTAGACTAGTGGCATGTGGTCCAGTTGTTCCTAAAAGGATGTGGGTTTTTGTATATAGCCCACCGAAGCTATTTTCCGTTCATAGCGAATAAAAGCGAAGGCACCTAAATCGTTACTTTACTCGCGAACGGAAGTAAACATATGAATAACTAGCGGGTAGCTACACAGTGCAACAGTGAGGGCGAAAAACCGACGAATGTAAATGGTAGTTATTGAGGACTTTGGAGTGATGAGGTTTGCGCGATTTCATTCACACATACATATGATTTACAGCACAGACGAATTTAGTCTATGAAGAGCGAAAGTAGACTCCGCAGCACAGCCTTGTTCCTATCATATGAACAGTCATGTTGCTTTTATGCAGCAAAAAAAATCGCTCAGCACCCTTTAGGTGCTTAACTGCCATGCAACCCGAAGGCTGCACGAGGCTGGGATACTGCCAGGTTGCCCAGGCCTGGATGGGACGTCGGGTTCGAACCACGGACCTTCCGGTCAGTAAGTTCGCACTCTCACTAATTGGCCCATCTCGCTCCGCTTTTATGCGACGATGAGGCTCGATCTTCGACAGCCGCTCTTTCTTTGGCGTGTCTATTCGAAAGATACCATCGTACGGTGTCGTTTTCATCGAACTCTCCTGGAAAATCTGAGAAACGTACTCCTTGTTCAGATTGTAAGACGATCTTAGAAAAGGATATAACGAGCTTAACGAAGCACTCTGCAGGAGGTTACAAAAGCTCCCTCAATGAACGGCCTCGATTCCAGGGGGAAAAACAGCTACTGCTGCGTAGCTACGGTTCCCTATTTCTGAGCTCAATCCAAAAAGAACAGGTTCGTTGAGTATCTTCATCACCGTCGACGTCGGTACAATAAATGCAAGTCTTGGTCATATCTGCCATACAGCCATGTGTTTGACGGCTGCAGATGTGTTGCGATTCTGCCAGAACACCCAGCGTAAACTGCTTTAGAATCTCAGCGACAAGGCCGCGTCGGTTGGCGCTGGCGTATGGCAACCGAAATAGCGCAGCTTCTGATGATCAATTTACCACATAGTGTGATCCAAGGACGGCTTGCGTAACCCCCTCTCACTGACTGAATCTGTTGAATAAACTCTGTACGGTGCATGGGTATGTGGTATAGCTGTGAGTTGAAGTGCTCAACATCTCACCAGGATAAGATCCAGCCTCGGCGTGATGGTCTTTCTAGGACAGACTGGTGCTCCAAACGCATTCCTGCAGGCTCAGCTCATGCACTATGTAGAAGTTCAATTAGTTCGAGCAAAATTTACGTGCAACTATGAAACTCTGGTAAGATTACGACTGTTACGAACAAATCGGTGAAACTGGAATCGTCCGAGCACTGGGCTGGGACCATGAGATGGTTTCTATTCCTCCATGACTCACTGAACTGTGCTCTCCCAGGGTGATACGAGGTTTGTTGCTGAGAAGGGCTTCAGACTTTCGGTGGAAAAAATGTACACCGTCTTGGTCCCAAAGACCACACCACCGCACTAGTGTGCCAGCACCCACCCACCGCCGTGTGGTTAGGCTCTTAATTCAGCGTTTTTGGTTGAGAGCCTGACCGCACCTGGAACTATCTTAATCCCCTTACAATCATGAATCTTCACAACACAATGCTTTTCGGCTTGCTCAGGATTCGTCCATCCAGATTGCCTTGTATAAATAGGCGGGATAAGCGAAAATATGCTACTTCTGACGCCATTCTTAGACACAACATTCTTGGGCACAACCGCTACGCACCACTACGCCCTTCAATAACGCACTGATGATGTCACCTCGATTGGTGATGAAACGTTTGCAATCAAGTTGCCTAGCTCAGCGAACAAGCTAACGACCATCTACGCTACATGAGCTACCGACATTTTCCCCTATAGAAGACTTTCAAGTGTTCTTCCACGAACCCGCTAGCAGTGTTCTACACACGTCCCACCGCCAGAAGTAGAGGCTCTGTCTGTCTCGCAAATTCTGCGCACCTGTTCGGACTAAATTTTGACAGCGCTCTGAAATTAGTCTTCCAAATCCTGGAATCCGAAATGATTAGCTGCCCCCCACTGTCCCCAGTCTGGCGTTTACGGGACAGCAAACGGCTCTCACTCACATTCTAGATTCCCTGTACATTGTCACTTGCTATCTGTTAGGAACAAGGATCTAGAACTCAAATAATTGAACCAACTGCCCCACCGTCATCTACCCACCTCCGTTCGCGCATTTCTGACGGTGTAAAAGCTAAAAAACAATATAGACTGTTGCAACGAGTATGCTGTGTTGAGCTATCAATCAGAGCCATCTCTCTCGAGATATTCGTTACTGGTTCGTCCGGTAAAGCCCAGAAAGCAGTCCCAAGAACGCTTTTTTACTTCGTCACCTCATACCACGGTGTACTTCAGCCAAAGAGAATATTTATGACGTAGGTCTTCCGCAGCGGACTTAAAACTTCTGCGTAATTCTGTTCCCTCATGATGTGACTGCTGAAGTAAGCAGGTTCAACGCTGGTGAGACTTAACTGCGCGGACCTTTCGGGTTAATCGCGAGACGAACGGCGAACGACTGTTTCATGTGTGTGCCATTTGCGGGCTTTTTTAGGGATACTGTCTTCCGGAGTTATCAAATTCTGCCGTGCATATGTTGCTCACAAACGGAACTACTTCGGACCGAAAGGGGCGAAATTAGCGTCGATTTCAGATGACGGGGATTAGTCTCGGTATTGACCTAGCCATTTTCCTGTTCCCTTGGAGCGATATACAGTGATGATCATGGTATCGCTTCCAATGCTTGGCTGTATCTCCCACGCTCTACTATTTTTCGGTACAGGCAGCACTTTCGGAGGTGATAAAAGTAAAATGTGATTCGAATTGTATCGTTTATGCGTTAGTCGTTCCGGAGAACTGGCATTATTTCTTAAGATTTTTGGTTATTTCATTTGCGACACTTCCAGACTGTCCAGGCCGAAGAAGACAGATGATTTGGGCTCCAGTCGGAGCTTTTGATGAGCTACCTGATCCACAAGGAGACAGTGCGACGCACGATCCACTTGAAGTTGGTAACTGATGCCCAGCCCATAAGCTCTTCGGGTGGGAGCTATCCGTCCTGGATACCTAGTGCGTCATTGACCATGTTTTTACCGGTAGCTATAGTAAGTTTGGTCCATGTACTACTGAGCTGGGCTCCAGGTGAGTCTCTCGTCAAAACCAAATTGGTAAGCAGATGAATGTATAGGTCGGATCTTGAAGAATACTTTAACTGGTCTGTACGAGCACGAATTCTGAAAGGATTGAATGAACCTAGGTTTTGCAATCTTAGTGGTTCTTCGTTAGCAGCAAGGATCAAAAGCGAAATTTCATAGGTACATCGTAGGTCACCACTGTTAAACAGACTATAGCCTGCGCTCTTCAAATAAAGTGACCGCGGATTGATTATAGGCCTGACGAATCATATAGAGCAATGAAATGATGTCGGTCATACGGGGTACATCAGCCCCAATACTTAATAAATGCAAGGGTGACTTGCGTAAACTGTCGTGATCACTAGTGTCCAAGGTGGTGTTTGGCATTGTTATGCGCAAGCTGAAAGATCACTCTATGAATAAGGTTCTGGAGAATGGAGCCGACTTCTTCCATTCTTCTTATGACGGGTGTAAGGACCGTGTTGTTCATTCCGACCGCCAACGCTGTTCATTATCTTGAATCAAAGCTACCTTCGACTCTACCAGTCGCCAGAAACTGGTGATATTTGGAGATGGCAAGTGTCTGTTTCATATCCGTGTGCGGACTACTATGGTTACGCATGTTTTTGCATCAAGCTTCTACCCGAATTCACTTCGTCCACTGGTATTCGGACAGGCTGCTCTCTGTACGTTTCTTCGGAAGTCTTATTGGTCAGTCAACTGGACCTTCCTGCTGTGACTCTGGTAAGTCGGGTATCAAAGTGCCACAGGATTGTTCGCTGACCAGCACTGAACACGTGAACTGTTGTGCTTTTGAGTTTAGGTATTTCAGAACTATGAACCATAATGAATGAAGGAGATTGCTACGTCCTACGCGTGTGAGAGGACTACCTTCCTTACAGAAACCCAGTGGTGCAAATCGTACTGATGATGATCGTACAGTCAATGAGGTCTAGAAACCTAGACGATTAACCCCATCCATCTCTGCAGACTGTGACTCCGTACATAGTCAGACTCGGCCCGACCTCACTCATTCATCAAAGCTTGAAATTGTAGCTATCCCGGTTCCCACTTATAGGAAGAATGACACTTGCCTGTTGGAAATGGCCAGATGATCGCCGTTTATTGAGTGCTCACGAATTGACTGTAGTATGAATTCACATGTTCACTAGTGAATGAGGCTTTTCTGATTTGTGTTGCACAGCGAAACGAATGTATTGTGAAGGAACGTCTACGTCGGGGCAAGATGGCTCAAGTGGTTAGAGCGCGAATTTACCGACCGGAAGGTCCGTGGTTCGAACCCGACCTCTACCTCTCGACTTCCCCTGTCTAGGCTTGGGCAACGTGGCAGTATCCCGGCACTTGTGCCCCCATCGTGTTTCATGGCAGCTAGGAACCGGAAGGGTGTTACAGGAGGAATGTCCCGCCTTGAGGATTGGATTGTTGTTTGTTCAACGAACAAGACAAGGGTGTGTCTCCCCCCGATAAGATCTAGTGAAGGGAGGAGCGCCTTTCGCTGCGAAGTTGTTTGTTTTAGCAAACAGGAACTAAGTGGTTACAAGCCATTAGACACAAAAGTAAGTATCTCATCTACACGGGGTTTTTGAAAAAGTTAACATTCCTCTTGGACTTTCTTTGAATATTAAGCAATAATGGGCGAATACTGCAAAGCTGTTCCCTAATTTCCGTATTAACCTTCACCTTCCATCGGATGCGGGGGAGGAGCTTGGACACCAGACCAGACACTACTCACACGCTCCATCCGTAGTATGCACCGTCACACTGGCATCACGTGTCGATATTTTTTTGTTAGTCGTATTTTTCAGGATAGTTTTCTGCCTGCGGAGACGTAGGGACGTACAGACTAAATGTAGATGCTTCAATTCAAAGAGCTGTGTCGATTCACGATGAGGTAGGTTTCTAGGCTTAAGGACTTGATGGTCCAATGGTGCTCGTAGTGTTGTTGGAAACTCTAGGGAACCTTTTACTGTGGTATTCATGGATTTCCGAGGCATATTCGACTCGATTGACCAGCCTGTCATTGACACGCTGGCACATCAAGGAATGCCCTGTGAACATAAATAGTTCTCTGCACCCACAAAGTGTAAGGTCATGCTCCCAGACATGCGGTTACTGAGCATGCCACTCAAAATCTAGGGCGGGACACTGAAAGTTGTGGATCGCTTTACGTATCTTGGAAGTTGTGTTAGTTTTGATTGTCGTGTGACAGATGAAGTCAATGCACGAACCTTCAGTTCTCAGGTCGCGTTTGCTAATTTGAGACACCTATGGCGTCAACGCGGTATATCCTTGAATATCAGGGGACGTGTGTATCAAGCTACAGTATAGACTGTTTTCTTGTATGACTGTGAAACCTGGTCTGTTCGATCAGCGGAACTAAGACGTCTTCAGGTGTTCGGCAACCGTTGTCTCAGAACTGTTGCTCGTGTGGGTTGGTGTCGGCATATGCGTAACGAGGCAGTTAGAAAGCGAGTTTTCGGTTGTGCTATCGGTGCTTCTATTGAAGAATGTGTCCAGCACCAGAAGTTGCGTTGGTTGGGACATGTGTCTCGTTTGTCTAACCATCGTTTGCCGAAGAGAGTGCTGTTTTCCATGCCCAACTCAGAGTGGTGTAAGCAGAGAGATGGCCAACCCTTGACCTGGCAGACGGGTAAGAAAGAGATTGCGAAACGTCTGGGGGCTGTCGGTACTACTCGCCTTACGTTCTGCTGCGCTAGGTGGTAGACGGAGATCCACACACTGTCTGGCAAGCATAGTACCTTTATGGTGAGCTACCACCCGCTACGTCAGAGTGCCGTTCTTGGGCAGTGGTATTTTGTACCGTAGTTTGTTACCGCGCACCACTGCCAGAGACCCGTTATCCCTTGATACATGGGTCACGGCACAATCGATTACACCACCGCGTCAAACTGAGCAAGAGGATGAACTTCACAACTCACCAGACCTGGATAATTTCCTTTCCCTCTTCGTTTGGTTCTACTCCAGATCTTTTCCCAATAAATGATTGTCACTAGGGAGATCTAATGTTGACTTTACGCATGTTGCCTACCCTTCAAGTTGAACGTATTGCAGCTCAATACATCTTTTTTGCGTGAATGGTCAGCTGATTATCGTAATGAGTTCAGGTCGGGTCATGGGAGTAAGAGATTACTACTGACTGATAGTTCCGAATTGGTTCAAATCCACTCCTAGCTTACCGATTGGTCCAATCTGGGCTCAGGCAACCTGACTATATATTGACGCCTGCCCGTCCCTTACCCTTTCCCAGCTGCCAACGTCTTGTTCTCCTACAACGGTGATGTGAAACTAGCAGATTTCGGAGTTGCCGGTCAACTGAACTCAAGCATCACCAAACGGGGCTCCTTTGTTGGCACTCCATTCTGGATGGCTCCAGAACTTATTCAACGATGTGCCTACGACTTCAAAGTACGTCATACCCATCTCTTGTATATATCATGGGATTGGATTATGTGCGGATTGGCGCATAAATTTTGTGTACACAGGTCTCACCACAATCTCGACCATCACAGCTTTACTGTTGGATTCTTTTTTAGTGTTGTGGTCATTGATATAGTCAGTCGGCTAGTTATTAAAAAGAGCGCAGTTATTTCTGTCATTGGACCACAACTAAAAAGGATTTCCGGCCAACTCATAGCTTCCATTCCAGTTTGAGGCGACACATAAGCGCCCATGGTTTGTTTGATTGGTTGTTTGGTCCCGTGATTGCCGCAGATTATATCACATTCATCCAAACCCAACACCTACACGTGCAAACGCCATCCAGAAGCTAGCAGAACTCAGTGGCTTTCCACAGGTTATAAATGAGTCCTACGTCACGTAACTGATGAAAGTACTTCACTGTGACCTTGGATAGATATCGGAAAGGTAGTGTTATTTCCATTAACTGGTCTCGGGTTAGAATTTTATATGTTTTCACCTTCATATACCAAAGTGTTCTCATTTTCGGCCCCTTTCAGTGGGTTGTAACTACCAGAACCAACCAGCAGCGGCGGGAATTAATCTCCCCTTGTGGCACTTTGGTTCACGTGTCAGAACTTCTCCTCATCAAGTCATTTTCGATCCGTTCTGAGACGATTCATACCTCAAAACTTGGCTCATGACCGGTTCCGCGTGTTACTTGTCATAGGTTCACAGCCCAGTGTGTTTGCAGCTACTGTGTCGATTTCCCAGCCCCCCCACTGATACGCTTGTCGTCGCCACATTGAATGCTTCGTTGATGTTGCTGCTGTTGGCGATGCTCCTCTAGGTCCACGTTGTAACATTTAACAAAACGACGGCCAACGATGATCCAACTGTGGCGCGGCGCGTATCTGCCGTGCAACTCGAAGGAAGCACGGGGGCTGAGCTATTGTCAGTTTTCCAAGGTCTAAACGGAAGTTGTTACATCTAAAAGATGTTACAGAACATTGGGGGGTTAGGGAAAGGTCGAAATAATGCGTTTTGGTTTTCGCAACATTTTACAGGTTAGATGAGTTGTGGTAGGTCTCACGCAGCAATCATCTGTGAATGTGTGACTCAGTTTTGCAACCTGGGTTTTATTCTGCCAAAAAAAACCTTCGGTTCTTGTCACACTTCCTTTGATATGCCTCTGTTGTCCCAATCGAAAAGTAACCCAGTCCCTTTTTCTCTGCGGTCTTTGAGGCAACCCTTTCACCAATTCGCATGTGGTTGTCCGCCTGTTGAAATTCCACTCACTCTTCCTATCGCTAAGGTCATGTTTTTTTTTGAGTTCCCCAGATGTGCGGTGCTGATTTCATGTTTCGGTTAATGTTAAGACCGAACATTCTACTCTTAAACATTCCTGTCGTCAGGTGCTACAGGTTTTCTCGAAATGGTCGGTTACGGTTGTCACTGGGATTCCATTGGCGGACGAACAAACGTCGCGGTCCAACCCTTCGGTTTCGTTTTGAACCTAAAACGCCTGTGCCTTTTCAGATATCCACTACCTCCACCAGAGGAGCTATCAGTGAGAAATGGGACATTTGACCAACCTTGGATGTGACTTCTTTTGGAAGGTATCGCCGATAAGTGGTAGCTGACTCGGAACACTGCTTTGGTTACTCCTGGTTATGTGTTTGGGTATCGGACACAGCTTCGTCCGATGGAACAATTGGTCCGGTATCTGTAAATCTTTGTACAGACCCCAGGCGTCATGAGGGATCACTGATGTATCTCCCAACGAAGCAGATGCCCGTCATCTCTTTTCAATATCACGCGGGGTCGGCTTAAACCGACCAAATTACCCTCAACAGAATGACAAACAAGTATTGGATAGGTGTGTCTTCTGTCCAATATCTGGATGTCTATGAGTGCTAACTGCGGTGGAACGCAAAATAGACTTGCTTTCGTTCCATGCTCTCTAAACATCAATCTTAGAAGTCCGTTTCAATTACACAACAGCAACTAATCGAATAAAGTAAGGTCAGTTAAAGCTGTCTTTCACAGCACGCTGCCAAAGTCGTTCTCTGTGTCAGGTGCTTGTATTATTGAAAAGTCGTGTGACACACTCTACCGTTATTGATTCACCGTTTTCACGGAGCGCATTCATCGGTGTGCACACGCTGGTGTTCCTGCCTCCGTTAGCTGACTGGCGGTCTACTGCTGGGAAGACAGTAACCGGCTAATTCGGGCGCGTTTTCTCAACACCGCGCCATTTTATTGCTTCCTAATCTTGGTTGAGCCGATTGGTTGTGCCGATATGTACGTTTTAATGCGGCTTCGCTCTTCCATTCATTGATTGTTTACCTCTTTCAGGTGGACGTCTGGTCTACTGGAATCACTGCCATCGAGTTGGCCAAGGGCGAACCACCCAACGCTGATCTCCATCCAATCAGGGCGCTACTTTTCATCCCACACAACCCTCCCCCTCAGCTAACCGGTGATTTTAGCAAGCAGTTTCGGGACTTTGTCGAGTCCTGCTTGGTTAAAGTTCCAGAAAATGTGAGTTGGTTCTTTGGTTGTTTGGCGCATATTCTACAACAAGCACGTTTAAGCTTTTTGGCGAAAGACTCAACGGTTTAGGTTTTTCACTTGGCATACCAAACTTTTATACGGCCACTTGTTTTTCGCGGCTCTGGCGATTCCGCAGAACAGAAAGCTGGTTTTAACGAATATACACTCATTTGAAAACTAATTTTTGTTTTTCGAGAGACTTACGTGGAACCCAGCTGAATCTCTCGTTTGTGATGTTCTCAGGTAGAACAAGGTTCAAGTAGAACATAAGTTTGACGGAAACCCGGGGACTGCGCCTACCTGGTGAGCCCCAAAAAGGGCCAAACCGGTCGTGGGCTGTCAACGGATTTTCAGCAACCTTATGAGTAGTACATTACAAAGATATAGGAAGCTGGTTCCTCTAGAACCTTTAAAAAGTTTTTTAAAGTCAAGCTTTCTAAACTACGGTCTACCTTTGTTGCCACGCCACTTTCTCGAAAAGATGTGATGATAAGCGAGGTTGGTTTTATAATGATGATGACAAACTCATTTCGAAGTAAAGAACAGATAGATACTCACCGCGTGAGTTCGACAAAACACTTTCCACGCTTGTCTCTGTCTAGTTTATGAGGTTATGTAAATTCTTTTCGATCGAAGTAAAAGCCGAGACATCACTTATTTGCCTTTCGTCTTAGGTTTGGTTGAACCTAACGAGGCGCACAACTGAAATGTCACTCAGTTTCCACTGCCGTTTGGACTCCAGTGAGTTCTTTTACTGCCGGCCCACCGTACGTTCGTATCACACTGACCGACCAAGCTGCTGACCGAGTTACGGCTATCAACCCAACACATCAGCTACTAGAGTGTTTGCACTCTGCTTAGTTATTGGAGTCATAGAATAGCTCCGCGTAGTCTCCACGATTACTGTGTAGATGTCACCTGCTGGTGTAAGTCCGGGCACCACACTAATCCGTGTGGTAGGTATGGGTACCTACGACCAACTCTACTCGCTCAGCTGTAGCACCTTTCAGTGCCTAACTGCCACGCACGAGGACTGGGATACTGCCAGGTTGCCCAAGCCTAGGCAGGGGAAGTCGAGAGGCAGAGTTCGCATTGGAACCACCGACCTTCCGGCCAGTAAATTCGCGCTCTAACCACTTGGGCCATCTCGCCCTGACCAACTCTAATACAGCGGCCCAGTGAACAACTCGGGCCTCCACGGGGTCGCTTTGGCCTTGAGTAGCCCCATCCACAAGGATATGCACTACTAATGTGTTCTAATACTAGCGGAACTCGAGTCCAATGCTTCTCCGCCCCTTTGGTGTTGACTCACCAGAACAGGAAGAGGAACGTGTGAACGTGGATTCTACAAGTCACACAACCGTCTGCAACTGAACAACTCAGAGTTTTGCAATGTGTCCTTGGTCAAAGAGTGACGAGGGGACCCTGGTTGCAAGAACGGAATTAATATTGGTGGAATAATCGAACATGACTTCCTATCAAGTAGTCAACGGGAAAATTGTCTGTCATGATGAAAACTACATTGAACTTGAACGATACTGGCATTTGCAGATTTCCACAAAGAGCCTAAGGTGGCTCAGTTGCTATATACTGGCATTTGCAGATTTCCACAAAGAGGCCAAGGTGGCTCAGTGGCTCAGTGAAAGGGAGGTCTGTGGTTCGAACCCGACCTCTGTCTTTCGACTTCCCCTGTCTAGGCTTGGGCGACCTGGCAGTATCCCAGCCCTCGTGCCTCCTTGGTGTGGCATGGCAGCTAGGCACCGAAAGGGTGCTACAGCTGGACGATTATTATTTATATTTTGTCTCTATTGGGTGACCATCTTAATTCATTTCATTCCTTGTTTGCTGCACCCGATTAATTTCCCGGAACGAAATCAATCATGCTGATAGGGAGGCGACAATTAATTGTGGGGACAGACAAAGTCCAACTGGAAGGAACCGATCCTACTTCACACATATTGTAACCATGGCAACCGGCTGACGAATTGGACAGATAGGATTGTTATATCCGTGCTGTTTCTCAGTGGGAAGTGAAGGTCCACTGTAAAAACTAGATCTAGAGCTTGAGCAAGTGAGAAGTTTCGCATTCGGCTAGAGGAAGTTGGGCGAATTAAGGCCGCTGGCCAAAATCGCAGTTGCGGATGCCATACTGACGTAAGTGAGGTGACCAAAGTGACGCGATATCGTCTGAAAAATCCTTAGAACAACCGACTATGCACCAACATTTTGCATTTTGTCTGTTACAAAGTTGGCTGGACGTGGGGTAGCCATACCGACTGGCTTTGGTTGTATGTATTTATATCCACAAACCCTGGGGCTTGGGATGCGGAGTTGTGGGTGAGAGCTCTTAAGAGACAAGAGATGTTGCTGTGACATGTTCACTTGTATCAGGGGGAGGGTGTCACTTTGTGCTGATTTCTTAGCTACTGTATTCCTGTCGGTAAAGTTTACGACAGAGAACCTCTGACAGGCCGAAAATATCCATTGAATAAGTAGCCTTCTTTCACTGAAAACCACGACAAGCACAAATGAAGAACTACCCAGCTATGGGCCTTGACTAAGTAAACAGTCCGTATGTATGCATGTGTGTAGTACACACTGAACTTTGTTTCGTCACCTAAGCAAGTCAGGCGATAACTTGCTCAAAGTCACGTGCTCAACTGATCGATCCATGTCCAACCGAATGCTGCAAATCATCACAATGATGGAAAAACTGAGCTCACCCTGACGGTAACATGGTTGATCACGTGGTCATCAATTGGTTATTCTCTATTTTGAGGTTCGTAGATCCATTGTTCAAGTAACTGTTATCCAGACAGGTTTTTTGCAACGTTCCCAGCTCAGAGTTACTAAAAACAGCGCCACAGGTCTCTACATTACATAATGAACCTTATTGGTTTTAACGAGTCACCATCAACGTTTTACTGCCAACTTTACAACACGGTGGCAGTGAAAATGAAGGGCAGCGCATGTTCCAAGTAGTACTCTACTGTGAGTGTCGCTTGAGGAATGGACCCTAGGTGAACGAACCGATTAGTTGATTTGACCGGAAGTGTTTAAACCTCGTTTCGCAGATGTCCTTGGACAATCGGCTCTTTCTAAAAAAGGGAAATTCTGGCACAGCTATAAACTTTGATGATCCCGTCAACCCGCCAGTTTCGTATCACTATGAGGGCCACGGGAACGCACTTTGTAAAAATTCTTAGCTTTCTGCATTTCCTGGCGCCAGCAAAAGCCAGTTCATCGCAGCCATAGCAACGATTACACAGACTCACTTCTGGCACTGGGATAAGGGATTCGCGATCGTCAGAAAAAACGCATTTTCTGGCACTGGGATAAGGGATTCGCGATCGCGCATTCGCCCTTTCGATTAGGGATGATATGGACTAGGGACAGCACAATGTGACAGGCAGGTGATAGAACGAAAGACAAGAAAACCGGACGATAAAATGCTGTCGATGTGGACACGAAGGGCGAACTGACGTGTTTGTGCGCTATGGACCAGAGCCTTTTTTATCTTGGTCTCAAGGATTTTGAAGTTGGAGGTGTGGGATACGTTGTTGGAATAGATCGGATTGGCGAAACGGAACCAGGAGGCCGGCTCGTCTAGCACAAGGATCCACGTCAGGAACGGAACAATGAGGTCGTTGGGTTGGATGATCGCTTCGCAGTCGTGGTGATGTGGAAGTTTTTAAACTAATGGGCCCTTCAGTAGAATAGTTTAACTGCTGTTACAAAGGGACGGTTTTTCATTTGATTTCTGGTTTGCTGTTTATGCCTTTGTGATGGCTGTTTTGTGATTGCCGCTTCGCATTGGACAACATTACTACTCATACGTTTTCAGTGACTTACGTCATCGAGGACATCTGCATTCGACCTTGGGCCATGCCGTCGATAATCCGAAGCATCGTGATCTCATCATCCACCTATTTCCGGATGGATAACTGGACATTTTCTTCCGTAATGCGCTAGAAGGTATAGGAAACCCGGAACAACTAGCTATTTCAGCTTACTGGTGGACAGTTCTGGTCATCGACGTTTGTTCGATCTGCTTGAGCATATGCCTTCGGGGTGCCAATTCAGATTTTGTCAGACGATAGCTATTTATTGTTTATCTACGCACTGTCTGCTGGACTTCCGGTTGTCCTTCACAGATTGTTTACAATTTTATCGGGACCGTATCAGTTTCGAAACGTTGAGATATTTTCCACCAAACATTTCATCTTTTACTTTACCCTTCAATAACTCGTCGGGCTTCTTTCGCTTTTTCCCTTTCCTATTCTAAGCTGAACATGCACGTGGCTTTTTCTTCCCTTTCGGTCGCGCATTATTGCGGTCAGTGTGATTTTGAGGGAACAGGTGAATGAATGACTCGGACGAGAACAAAGGAGAAACGACATTTGGTCACACACACACACACGCCTGTTGCTGAGTCATGTGCCACCGTTTCGTCTCTATGCTTGTCTATGAAGCGCACTGTTTGCCCCCGATTCTGCTAAACTGCAGAATTTGGAGACTATTGAAAGATGCGAACAGATTCTACTACCTACTGATAACCAGAAGCTGCACGAGTCTATCGTTCCGGTCATTCGAGAAGGTCTTTTTAGGTCAAGGAGCTTCGCCTTTTGCAGGTGTTTTATCCAAATACTGGATAATTGTAGGCTCGTCTCGTGTCGGCTCATTGTATTGAAACTCTACGCTTTTTTCCCTATCTGTTTCGGAGAGACTGCAATGGTGAAGTCAGAACGAATTGTTTATACTTGGACTCTAGGAGGACAGTAAAAAAGCGAAATCGTTCTGCTGTAACCCTCTTTCGATGCCTAGCTGCCATGCCACTCGAAGAGAGCACGAGGGCTCAAATACTGCCAAGTTGCCCAAGCCTGAGCAGGAGAAGTCGGAAGGTAGAGGTCGGGCTCGAACCACGGACCTTCCAGTAAGTAAATTCGCGTTCAAATCACCGAACCATCCCGCCCATAGGGGAACAGTGTCCAGGTATTTGGACTTTTGACAAGCAGATTGCATCAATTTCCTAATACTGAAGGTCGCGCATGAAGATAACCACACAAAGAAACGTTGCTTAAGCCTAAAAAGTTTAATCAGCAGATGTACTGTTTGGCGTAATATTTACCATCCGACGGGAGCGACAAGGCGTAAGTATCAATATTACAATATGAGGGTCTTATTCAAACATGAGGCGGCCTGGTGCAGCACATTCAGTTGCCTGAGAACATCATAAATGAGAGATTCAGCTAGGTTCCAGGTGAGTCCCTCGAAAGAACCAAATTAGTTTGCAAATGAGTGCATTTTCGCAAAAGTTCCTTACGTTTTAACGTAAGGCTGGTAGCTTTTCTATAAACAACTCACATATCGGTCTTCCCTGGTTGGCAAATGGTGCGTTGGTCACCGGTGACATCATGAAAGAAGAATAACTGATTGAAGACGTTTCATAAAGTCCCCTGGGAATTTGAGAAAGTTTGCATCACGAATGGCAATCGGCTTTTGTGTTGCAACTCAGTTGCAAAGCAGCTGGAGATTGTGGCATAGGAATATGTTCTTACCAGGTTTGAAATCACTGTTTCGCCAACTGTTTTCGGTGGACGCCGAGAGACATCGATGCACATAACTTTCTTAACGTCGTCCCTCCTTCGGGGACGGCGAATCGAATGTTTTGGGAACCTTTGTTTGACAATCGTATGTGTCGCACCTGTCTATGTGCAACTACGGTGTCTGTTTTGTGTATCTATCGGGGTTTCAAGAGTCGATGTTCGATTCGTTGATCAGTCACATGATGAATAGTTCTTGTATTCGAATTCCATTCGTGCGTTAAACGATTGCCATGTCCACCTGGTTTTTGTTCTGTGCGTGCTTGCATAACACGTGCTCTGATTCCTAGAAGGACCGCGCGCATGCCTTGAATTCAGCACTGACAGATAGCGGGTGAAAGGCGGCTCTTGGCTTTCTCCGAAGCTACTATCTAGCACTTGGTTTACAGACATTTTGATCTCAGTTGCTCAACCAACATTCGGTGAAATTTCTCAGCTTCAGGAGGCTAGTTAATCGTACACAAACTTTTCGTCAACAACCATATAATCGAATGCTGTGAAAAAAGAAAAATACATCGTTGTAGCACCCTTTCGGTGCCTAGCTGCCATACCACCCCGAAGGTTGCTCGAGCACTGGGATACTGCCAGGTTGCTCAAGCCTAGACAGGGGAAGTCGAGAGACAGGTCGGTTTCGAACCACGGACCTCTCGGTCAGTAATTTCGCTCTCTAACCACTTGGGTCATCTCGCCCTCATCGAACGCTCTAAATGTAGCTTACGTCGTACTGGACACAGTAATATCACGTACTTCACCAGTTTGTCGGCGATCTTGAACCGACTAGTTCCTCTCTATAGACTCAGTCGGCAGTTCACTCGAGTGGCGTTGCAAAGCCGTGTACTTTAACGATCCAGAATGTGCATGTTTCTTGGAGGTTTAGTGGCCCTTCTCGCAGTTTATTTAGAGTATGAGACGAAAAATCCATCCAAATATCTTATATCGGTGGTTTCGCCAACCACGGGGTCGTTTCGAGTCAGTGTGGAGAAAAGCGCTACTTACAAGATTGCTAGACTGTTCCCGAGCCCGCTGCGGAAGGGTAGATGTAGTCCCCGAGTTTCCGTCAACCTTGTGCTCTCGTCCGGCACAAACTTTCTCGCACTCGGCCACAAGTTTTGCATATTGGGTTGATGTCAACAGGTGGCTCACATGAACTCAGGATATCTCTATTTCGGTTATGGTATTCATCGGCTGAATATGTGTTACACAAACGCCGCCTCATGTTTCGTTTGGTGCGATATTCGACATGTGCAAGAAATTCAGTTGGGATTCAGTCAACACCAACTTCGTTTGCACTAAAGGGCACTTCGCCAGGAGTTGTCCTTTTCTTGGTTTCCACCTACTGTACACCTCTAGCAATTGATCAAACTTTTCGCTGTACCAACGATTGCCTGTTTACCGCTTCACTACCACCCTACATTTGACCGACCAAGCGGCCGAAAGCGGTCAATCCTGAGTCTACAGCGAGTCGATTGGAGCGCCCCAGTTGTGTGACAAAGACTAGTCGAACTTGTTGGGTCTTGATGTACGGTAGTGCAACTCTGTATCGGTCCCTTGGCTTCCTGCTCCACCACTGTGGTATATCAAAAGGCACGGTAGCTCTACACAGCCCGTTATGGAGACAAAGGAAAATTATTGCAATTGTATTTATAGGGTAGTCACAGAGTGTTCCACAAGGTCGTGCCAGAATCTCCGTGAAGAGGTGAGAAGCGTGGAGTGAAAGCTGGTTGACTCGGATTGGCTGGCATCCTGACCAATCAGGGCATGCTTTCGTTTGGCCCGTGTCCTGCATGTGACACATCCGTCCAAATGATGTACTGTTCGGTTAGTAGGGATGGCTGGCCTCCGTACAGAACTCGAGAGAGCTCCCTGATTAAGGCGTGACCTTACTGACCGAAGGGTCCGTTGTTCGAACCCAACCTGGCAGGTTGGTCAGCCCCCTGGTGGAATGACAGCTTGGCACCGAAAGGGTGTTACTTCTGAACGATTATTGTGATTTATTACTAGTCGTAGGTGAAAGTGATCTGTACAAAGAGCATCGCCACACCTAACTGGTGAAGCCATCCATGGTTATTAACATGTTCTCATTGATTTCTACATGCGATTTGAAGATGAAGCGAGGCCAATTACGCGAGATCCTGGCTGTTTTGGTTCGCGTCTTGTATGTCATCGGTTTACTCCGGGTTATTTCACTGTACTTCATATACTGAAGCGATCGCCAACCAACCGGATATTAACCAACATCTCGGCCAGAGTTTCACTCAACCACCCCGTCCAGATTATGTCTCGATTCTGGGCTGGCACAATTTTGTGTCGATCAGCTGATGTCTCGCCGAATTGTACTGATTTTGGTGTGCAAAACTCGATGGACAGCAGTGGTGGATTGCTTTTGTCTATGACCGTTTCGAGCGAGTTGTCTGGTGACCGTGTGCGATGAGCCGATTCTATTTATCCGTGCCGAGATTTTTGTGACCCTGTTTTAACATACTCCACTCAGCCGAAGCAGTTCTGATGACGGGGATATGTGTCTTTTGGGAACAATTTTCATTACTATCACCTGGCTAATTTTTTTTCACCTCTGGGCTATAACCTTCGCACCTGAAGGCCCTTAAAGATTTTTTTTATTTTCTCTACTTGTTGTTCCGGTCATGTACTGGTAGTCTGACATTTCAATTTTGATGACTAAGGCACAGGCGATTCATCGGTATTCCATTGTGTTTCGCTCATTTGTGCATGATCAATCCACGTCAAGTGGATTGTAACGAATCTACACGCATGCACCCGCACACTTCCCGGTATGCGTGCAACTAGCGTAATCGATTACACAAACTAGTGCGAACGTTAAAACGATACTGCCCCATGCGTTACTTGCGAGTTGTTCTGGAATCAGTCGTTCAAGCTGTGTGGCCCCCCTACCCACTCGTTTGTTTCTAATTGATCTCCTCTAGTCGCTTTTGTGGGAATTACTTATCACTTAATCCACCAAACCAAAAAATTGAGGAATCCTTCGAGGCTCTAAAGCAGCTCAAGATGCCCGATGGTAGCGAGGAAAGCGTTTTACGTCTGAGCACGAAAACAAATGAACTGTTCCTTGAATTTGAGGGATGTTTAAACATGAAACAGTCTATGACCCATGCGTCCCTTCCTTCATCCAGGATCCACGGATGTCTTGTGATTCTTAGGCACCGGTAATTGCGTTCACACGAACCCTGATCGACCTACTCATCCCGGAGGTCTTACGTTGTTCGATGTTCTTGAGCAGTGCATAAATACACACTGTTTGTCGCCTGTTTGAATTTTTTTTCAATTAGTCCGCCCATAGAAGCCGTCTACTGTCTTGACACTCTTGTGAGTAGTTTCCTTTATGAAAATACACTGTGGTATCTCGAATATCGTGCTAACTGAATCATGAGGCGGCCTGTGTGCAGCACATTCAGTTGTAGAATATCATAAACGAGAGATTCAGTTGAGTCTCTCATGAAAACCAAATTGATTTGCAAATGAGTGCATTTCTCGAAGACAACGCTCTCCCTTGTGGGTTTCATGCCGGAATGAGCGCAAGCATGCATACGTCCATACGAATAGGTTTTCGCCACAGGGTCTTGTTTTCGTCGCCACTGTTTTCGTTTCACACGTTCTCTGCACGAAATTTGCACAAACCATGTCGAGCGAAGTTTGGCTTTGTCAGCTGATGCTCGGATTCGGTCGCTCAGCTCAAAGGGCATGTTCGATCGGGCAAGCTGAATGCCGACAGTTTTGAGGTTGCCGGTGGTTCACTCTTCACTAACACTCGGTGGTCTGGATGATAATCGAGGTTCATTATGAATCTTGAAGGTTTTTCCAAGTCAGTTGGATTCTAAATCTTATCCGATCGGGTGCAGATATCTTCTTCGTCAGCTGATCGTTGATGACCTGGGAATCATTGTGTTTGCCCGGCCTGTAGTGTACTCGAACCCCTAATGACCAGTTGACCAGGACCGTTCGTAGTGCGGACTATTTGTGTAAGTCGATCTTAGGTCGGATGTTGTGGCAGGAGCGACGGGTGCTGCACTTTTAGCCAGGAAACTATCGCTTGCACTCAATGACAAAACACTTCACCTAACTGTGGCTCAGTATAGTCCGTGGAGTGCCGAGTTGTACAGGAAGTTATAACACCGCCACTTCCTGACTTCCCTATTTTCATTTCAGAGACCGACTGCACACGAACTGTTACGGCACCCGTTCATCAAACGAGCCCGGAAGAACAATGCCATCTTGCAGGAGCTCATTGAACGCTACCGACGGTGGCGCGAGTTGGGTAGTGATGAAGAACCTGATTCAGATGATGATGGTCTGTGAGTGTCCCTCGGCGTTTTTTCCGTCCTTTTTGTGTATGTTGTATAGCAGCTGTACCCCTGGAAGCTATCTCTGACATAATTGGAATGACTCCAAGGCTTCGTAATTCGGACGATCACTAAAGTGCTTTCCTCTTAGTTTCTTACACACCGTATGGGAAACCGTTTCGAACATGAGAGCAGGTTTTCCGGTGTCCAGTAGGCTCCGGAATGTCCATATAGTTTCTCCTCCCTCATCGCGGTTCGCTAAAAACCAAGCCTTTTGGATCTGACAATCGCGCAACACCCGAATTAACCAGAGTTCAGAACATTGTCAACTTATTTTGCTGCTGTCAAACGACTGTCATATAACCGGACGATTCAGCTTCAGAACTGTCCCGCATATCTGTTACTCAGAAGTGACCAAATCTATATAAGGCGTGGTTCCCTGCTGATTCCATCGTTGGGTCCCGTAGAACAGGTGGCAGCCTTCAATCAGTACCGCACACACTTTTACGTTACCCTTCCGAACGACAGTGCCATCCTTGACAAGGCACGATGGATTACGTAAACAAGATCTTTGAAGACGCCAGAATGACCGCGGACCTTGGTTTCCGAGGTATTTTGAATTCAGTATTAATGTTGCCGTTAAGAGGATGAATCTGAAGGGAGACTTTTTTGAGCAAAAGCAAAGCCGCCCTGTGCACACTTGAGTTGCTTTACGAGAGCCAGCCTGACTCTCTCCCTAGGTGTCCCCGCGAAGAGGATAACGAGGTCATCCAGATGTAAATTATTATATATATACNTATATATATAAACTACGGTTTTTTCTTCAGACAAGGAGTAACTGATCACAAACAGGTATCCTTTTGAAAACTGGTGATTTGGGTGCCAATTAATGCCGTTAGTTAGCGAAACCTCGGCTTTTGAAGGCACAGCCTCTGGAGCTATGACTCATCCATACAAAATTATCGGACAGTTCATGTTTTTCACCAGCCCCGACAGCTGATAACTGATCCCAACCGAAAGGGACTCCGGAAATGATGGGAATATCGCCTCGATCAGCTGACTGATAAGCGTGGAAAAGCGCAAAATCTTAGGGCCACCCTGTGGCTTCTCCTTGTCGAGCGAAAGGTCTTGGTAGTTTTTCGGCTGAATCAAGTCTGTATGGATACCTAGCTCATGAGAGCTCAGTAGTTAAGGTGCCAACTCACCGGAACGTCATTGGTGCAAATCCACTCTCTCTTTATATTGATTGCTCCCGTCTGGGCTTGGGCTATCTGGTGCCACCGTAATTTTTTGGGGAGGCATAACAACTTGGAGCTGAGAGGGTTTCACGGCTGAACGATTATTATTATTATTATTATTATTATTATTATTACTATTCTATGGATTGCCAAGTTTCGGAATCATAGGCATTTGCAACTTCACACATTCGCTGTCTTGGTACACTCTCTGCGAGATCTCAATCGGGTGCGATTGGCCATTCTCAGGCCTTCTCAAAACAGAGCAAAAGCCGAGTGTGAGTGATGTGTGATGCATGGAGCTCTGTGTTGTACTGTTCAACCATCCCACCTTCCTGTGCACTCAGGTTTGCCGCGTTACCACCCTCATCTATGAGCTGCTGAATAAAGCTTGGCTTCTGAAAGCGTTGGACTGGCCTCAGTCCGATTCAGATCTAGCAGGGCATAGTTGCGGACGTCTGTGGTGCCGAACTGAATTGGTTGCTGCTCTGCATGGGTCAAACCATCGTATCCGTGTGCGCAGTGAAAGTTCAGCAAGAGTGCTTTGTGATGCCGAAAGTCCAGGAAAACACCATTACACTGGTGGACCAGCTGTACTTCTGTTGACGTCACTTTCGACTGCTCTGTGTTTTTACACTAGTGGCTCGAAGAAGTGATATTTTTGTCAATTGTGAGCTTGACTTCTTGCGAAATTCGTCACTACAACTCATTCATTTGTGCCCCCCGTCCATCAGAAGCGGACCATTGTTGAAAAACTTGAGCGATCGTATGATGTTATTGCGGACTTTATGTCCACAGAAGTTTGAAACCGCACCATTCACATTCATGGAGGTTTTTTCTAAAAATGTAAGATGAACTAAGTCGATTGGATGCACGTCCTGGCTCAAAGAGTCTTGGGGCACACCTTTTGAAAAGTGCGCTTTTGTCCAAAACAACAGGGTGCGAGTAAGGACAACCCTGTCAAACTAGGGTCTCGTCTAGCTCTAGTGATTGTGAACTGGTTCGGATAACAGAGATTCATCTGGCTTCCAGGCGACTCCCTCGCAAAACCAAATCAGTTTGCAAATGAGTGTATTTCGCTAATTTCGTGCAATTCAGTTTCAAGTAGAGCATAAGGTTGACGGAAACTCGGGGACTGCGCCTACCTGATGAGCCCCAAGAAGGGCGAAACCGGTTGTGGGCTGTCGACGAACTTTCGGCAACCTTATGAGTAGTGCATGACGAATATACATGTATCGCGATATGTCGAATATCGTAGTGACTGAAACATGAGGCGGCCTGGTGCAACACATTCAGTTACCTGGAAACGTCACAAACGAGAGATTCAGCCGGGTTCCGGGTGAGTCTCTCGCAAAACCAAATTAGTTTGCAAACGAGCGTATTTCGCTCATTCGTTATTCCTTAGTCGACAAGCCTCACAACACCAGACACATATCATTTCCCGTCGCCCAGTAGAACAAATCCCAAATGCTTTTATTCCCGCATGATTCGACACTAATCAGAGCTGTACGAAGAATACCACAAGACCGTTGTCTTGTTTAAGGAGATTATGGTCCCTAGGACGCCTTTGGAGCGAGAGAGTGCAAATGTCAACCCTAGCGTCAGTCTTTGATCGTGTAAGCCGTTCCTATCATGAATCAGACTATTTGGAAAGGGTTCGTCCGTCGGAAGTAGGTTTACTTCAAAGTAGATTTCGTCATGCGCACTGTGCTACAGTTTGGAGATGCAAACACGTGTTCCACTCTTCTCCTTCTCTCTTCTGTGCGGCGCCCAAGTTCCCTGAGTTTGCGTTAGCTAGGTTGGTTGGATTGTAAGCTACTGATTGGAAATTCCGTGATCCGGACTCTCCACCCCGTCCTTTTGGAGCCTTGTAATTCCCTGGGATCGCATAGCATCATGCGCTAGAAAACGATTCAGTGTTTTGATTTGGCAGGGGCATCGTCAAGTCTTTAACACCTGTTGAGAAGAATATCGTTTTCTTTACGGAATTCGGCGAGACGTAGTGTGTGAATTCACACTGCAATTCGAAAATGACTGCAACTGGTTTGAACGGGGTTCACATTGTCAGTTACGCTGCCTTATATCTCCCCGAACTAATATTGATGGTGATTTTCCGTTCAGATTGTTCTTAGAGTATCCACTTCATTAACTATTTTCGCCAACCGTGTTAGTTTGCTACCACCACAAATGGAGTCGAGATTTCGTGTCACAGATTAGTTCTCACAGCCAATGATGGTGAGCTTGTTTCCGTAAAGTCAGGTCAAAAGTCAGTGTGGACCATCGGGGCGACACAACCTTCCCGTGATCTGTTCAGAGGGCAATGGATTCCCTATCATTTAACGTTTTTGGGGTGTGCCGGTAGTAGAACCATCGTCAAGTGAAAGCGAGTGGCCCCCTCTGGTCACAGACTACAACACACTGTGTTGCTTTATTTTGCTTTTATTGTGATGACCAGTGTTTCCTTTTCACCCGTAGCTCGGCCGATGATACATCGAAGGGCGGGAAAACCCGGAAGCCACGTGACGGCGAGCTTCCAAACAACTCCGCAGACACGCTGAAATGGGTATTCGATACCGTGCAGTCTGCACCTGCCGGTTTGCATTCCGCGGTTGCAACCACCGCCTCTGTCACCACATCCACAACGACCAGCGCTGCTCCTGTTGCAGCACAATCACGTCGACCAATCATACAAGGAGATTTACGGGAACGACGAAACAGTCCAGATCAGAAATCGTACGCCAATCAGTAAGTAGTACGCGCCTGATACCTTTTAAAATACAACGGCACGGGTCAGTGTTTAGAGCGCGAATTTACTGACCGGAAAGTCCGTGGTCGAACCTGATCTGATGCCAAGGGTGGTTTGAAATGCAATAAAACTCTCTGAGCTTAGCACTACTGATCTGTCCCAACAAGGATGAACAGGTGAACAGTGCTTCTCGGCTTATCAGCAGAAAAAATGGTTCAGCTGTAGCACCCTTTCCGTGTCTAACTGCCATGCGACCCGAAGGTTGTACGATGGCTGGGATACTGCCAGTTTACCCAAGCCTAGACAGGTGAAGTCGAGAGGCAGGGGCCGGGTTTGAACCACGAACCTTCCGGTCAGTAAATTCGTGCCCTAACCACTTGAGCCATCTCGCCCCTATCTTTACAGCTTCAAGACGTCACTGTTTCCCACTGTGCTTGAAATACTAAGCCTATCAAGTTAACCAAACACACATGCGAACCTTTTTTTAAAAAAACAACACAGCGGTTCGAGAGGATGAACTAACACGGAGGCACTGACGTTAGGAATCCGACCCATCAAAAAGTAAATCCGCGGTGGCATCCACTGATCTCGGCAGTTAGACCTGTCCGGGTTTGCCTTGAGCCTTATTTGCAGATGTTTCCGGAACGTTCTGCGATTAAAACTCCATAATCCTCTTGAGAAATGATTTCATGCAACATGTCTCGCCTGGAACGAGGTCGGTCACGACTCCGCTGTTGTTCATTGATGTCACATCTGCTATTCGCCAGATGCTAGTTAGTCTGTTTGCCGAGCTTGTACCGTACGAAAAGACGTCGTCAGTGCGTGTTTGGAAGGGTATTTCCTTTAGGTCTACTTTTACTTCTGTCAATGGAATTTGTTATTAGGGGTTTCGTTTGCGTGTAATCCGATTGGTTTGTTTAGATTTATTCTACTTACTGATTGGTTCTGTCCACCATTTGGTGTTACCCATTCAGTCTGTCAGCTGGTAACCATGTACCGATGGTACTTTGCAGGGGCCACGGTTTTGGTCGTTGAAAGACGGGAGATTTAGCCAGGCGTTGGAGCTTTCGCATAAGCAATCAGTTAGTGAGGAATTATGTTAATCGAGCGGAAGAGACGGGAGACTGGACAGTCACACATTGAAGGCGCTAGCTTTGACTCATGTTTGAACCAATGCCATTGATCATTGATCAAGTCCCAATCCAGGGAGGAGGAAGTTATCAACCTAATTGAGTTTACCTGTTGATGTTTTCACCTCTCGGTCGCTTGCACTCAGCGCGGATCCGGGAAAAATGAGATTTACGTGGAAAACGTGCGAACTACGTGTTCTAACCTGCTTGCTTAGCTCGTCCACCGGGTGAGACCTCCTTCCCCAAACCTCAACACTGTTGATTCGATGTTTCCACGCGACCCGGGTGATGCTTCGGGAACATCCATGGTCAAATAAGTATAGTTCTGGTGCTTTCCATGAGCTTAGAGGCCATGTTTTTGATCACTGAAGCACCATCGCTTTCATCGCACCGTTCCTTTCTTTTAGGCGCCCAACGGATTGTTGGGTCTCGTGGAAATTTGTTTTGTTGCTGTACTAGTCAGGTTAGGTTTTCATCGGTGTTGGGGAAAGGACACTTGTGGATTAAATTATGAACGAATGGCTACAGCCTCGGCTTATTGGATGTGCGACTAACTTTCAGAGCCATGTTACTTGTTCCGTGAACGGAATTAGGCAGGTTTCAAAGTCCTCGTCATAACTATTGATCCGTACGGTGTTTGACAACGAAGGGGAAACCATGTGTTTCAGATGAGATGTAATCAGTTTTTCGAACATCCTTTGAAGCCACTTCATGATTCTCCCTTGATAAATCTTAGTAAATCTGAATGAAAACTCGTTCTGTTGGAGGGCCTCCTTTATGCATACACAGTACGGGAAGGGAAACATTCCACTAGGTTGCTGGAACATCACACGGGTAGCGTGGAAGGCCGTTCTTGTTGACTGTCCCTCCCAAGAATATCATCCATCTCCTCTTTAGGGTTACATTTTTGAAACCAAGCTTAAATGTGTAGATTGGAAGCGTCTGGCATACCTTACGCCCGTGCTTACCGTTGTACTTCACGCGTTCACTGTTCTCAGCTCGCAACAACCCGCTCCACCGCAACACGTCCCGGTGTCCCGTAGCTCCCCTCAGGCGATCTCAATCATTTCCTCAAAGACTGCTGCCTCTCCTGGGATTCCCATCACACGCCCGGTGACCACCACTGCTGAAATAGTTGTTACCTCAGAGTCCGGACTCCCGCCTCCTGTTCCTCCTCACATCCAGTCAAACAATAATCCGCCCAGCACAACTGCTCCAGCTCCCCGTCCCCAAGTTATCATACAACAACAGCACCAACCACCTCCTCCATCTCAGATGATTCGGAGAATATCCATCGAGGACATCACGCCCAATCAACCTGTTCTCCGAAACGTTGCAGGTCGGTGCCCTTCCTAAGAGGTTTTATTCGTCCTATACGCCTGGTTGGGTTCCGTTCCTCGACCCTCGGTTTTTTTGTACCACCCTATGCACATGAAAGTGGCGTTTTTCAGCTCCCCCTAGAATATCTCCCGAGTTAAAAAAAATTATGGAATTATAGGTAGGATAAATTATTTCTGATAACCGATACTGATTGGTGCGCTCTACTAATCGGTAACGACCACTTTGGCGGTCGATCTCTAGATGGCTTAGTGGTTACGGCGCGAAATGTGAATGACCAGAGTGTATGTGGTTCGAACCCCCCTCTCGACTGCTCCTATCCGGGTTTAGGCATATGGATACTACCCCAATCCTCGTGCTTTTTCGGGTTACACGGCAGATCGATGCGGAAATGATGTTACAACAGCTAAACGATCAGTTTTTAGATTCATTTTGGTGTTAACCGAAGGCGAACTAGCCCAGTGAAAGTTGACCATCAGAGGATAAGTTTAACCATCTCAGCTAAGATGCTTATTTGAACATGAGTTCATTCTGACTTCGATAGGGACGGAAAGCCAGCATGGTTGTTTGATCTACCTGGATCTATTGGATATATCCTGGATATATCCGTCTAATTTGTACCCTTATTTTCATTTCGGGAAACTGGGAACTTTTAATGCATAATACCTGCATGAAAGGCAGTTGGGAATATGAACCGCATAAGACTCTCATCGATATCAAAATCCATGTTAGTCTCCAGAACCCTGTTCAGGCTCGAATCCGTCACGAATGGCGTTCATTCATGGCCGTAAGGTCGATGACATCGACTTATCTGGTGATGGGGTTGCTCAGCGAAGGAAGCACGAGGGCTGGGATACCGCCAGGTTGCCTAAGCCTAGACAGGGCAAGTCGAGGGACGGAGGTTGGGCTCGAACCACGGAACTTCCGATCAGTAAATTCTCGCTCCAATCACTGGTCCATCTCGCCTCCACTATGGTACTGGATCAATGTGATCCCCTGAAAACGGCTCACTCGATCGCCGTGGTCGAGGCATATCTATCGCGACTTTCGAAAGTCCGTTATCCGATAAGTAAGCACCTAGGTGATGGTATACCAATACCACTTTGGCCATGCACGGAAAATTCGCCTGATAAAAATGCTCCATGGATTCGCACAAGCTAATCTTTCCTCGTGTGTTGTTCTCTCGCGGAAAATCACTCGAGCAAGAATCGTCCCCGAAACGCACTCTAAACAGGTAGATGACACTCCGTCATCAGTCTCCAATTCAACAATCTACTAGCTCAGAAAATAAATTTTTATACGTAAATTTGGATGATGGAAAGTATCGATTTAAACTGATGAAAAAACAACACACTCAAGGCAGTTTGTTGAGGTGAATCCTAAAACAAAATTTTATGAGAGTAGGGTGGAGCGGTTGGTGACGAGTTTGAAAGTTTGGCGTTTTGGGTAAGAGAACCACCAAGGGAAAATGCAGTGTGGAGAAGAGTAGCGGTTTAGTCGAAATGATCTGAAGGACACAGATGGATGGTACCGTTGAGAGTTAGGTGTAGAGGGATATTTCAGCACTATCGACAAGGACTTGTTGGTTTACGAGGGACTGACAATAATAAGTGGACAGAACAACAATATTGTAAGGTATTATTCTGAAGTATGTCTTTATTCACTCTAAGCACTCATCCGGGTTGGAGGAATACCCCAACCTCAGGATGCATTCATCCGATTGTGAAAGTTTGGTTCTCGAACTGCAGTTTGCGTCCTGCGTGGCTTATTGGGGAAAACCAAGACTGTGCAATATCTCACCACAGTCTAGTCAGGAACCATCAATGGATCTTGAACGGACGAACTTATCCAGGAGCTCGCGCTTTACTTTGTGTTATTGTGGATTTCATCCGAGGCTTCATCCTGCAAGTGAAACCAGTCTAAGCCGAAAATCGAGAGTTATCAACAGTGTGTATCTCACGAATTGCCGAGACTCTCGGAATTTGCAACGTTGCAGCCTTGAATTACTTTTCAGCCTTTTTCAACTGTTCTGCAATCGTTTCCCTCCTCATACGATTTTGGACTGGCTGTCGAACCCAACGGGCCAGAAGTGGCGAATCATCATAAGATCCTAAAAGTTGTGTGGTCCTCGTGTCAGGAATTTTCCATTCAAGCTCGCGATGTTTTAGAGCTATTGAAGACAGTAGTTATACAGGGATTTCGTGAACTCTATACATCAAGGTGTTCCAATGTGTCAACAAGATCAGTTCAACTTGTACTTATCCATCGACGCATGAGGTTGGATCTCGCTGGCTACTGGATTTCAATGCGACCACTCCGACCTATGAGTGACTATCACTTGAAGCTAGGAAGTGGAAGACACATTTCTTGTAACTATGGTGCAGTTGTTTATCGTTGATCAACTGTCAGTTTTCCAAACCCGATTTTCGGTTCAGTTATTACACCACTCCACTCGTATCGATGAGCAGTTCTCGTGAAATAATCGATCTGAGGCATCCAACAGCATCGTAGAACGACAGTGTCAGATATTTATCCACCTGCCCCTCTTTTTCCCCAGCATGCCAATTCACTTCTCTCCATGTGTACATTTCGCAGTTTCTAACATGTTTCGTCCGGTGTGTGCCACCTAACTTTCCTGCTCTCTACTCCGTTCGAATTTGCTGTTTTTCCACGGAATACGATTTGATACTCGACGTTTGTTGGTTTGCGTTCGTCACACGACTCCGATCGATGCGCTGCACACACTCGCAACACATACTGGCACATTTGAGTCAAATATTTGTGGATTTGGCGTCATTTCAAACCGGAAGGTTGTGTCGAATGTTTTTTGTGCGCTCAGCTATGTGGAACTGAGTAGAGTGGTTATCGATCGACTGAGTACAAACCGTCGTTTCCATCCGAAGGAGTTTCGGCTACCATTCCTGTCAGTTAACCGTGCGGTTCACACATATTTAACGTTCACTGATGTTTTTTACTCATTGTGGGGTTTGTTAATGATACTGTTGTGTGCCAATATCGGAGGAACACAATTTAGTGGGATAGACTTCTTCCCGTATCACTGACAATCGTTGTCTTCGAGACAGCCATTGAGTCTGATAGGAACGCGACGAATGTTGAGCTAAGTCGGCTCATGCTCGGAGGAAATATCGCTTGTTAGGTATTCGACCTACTAATTCCTGTAGCTTGGTGCGATTTCTTCACGGAGGGGTGGGTTGTCTCAGGGTTTGATTGAGCTTAATTTCTTCTAACTTGTTTTGTTTGTCTTTTGAGCTTAGTACTTAGGTTTCAACAGGAGGGAAGTTGGCATTGTCAGTGTTTCGTTTTGTGCTGTGCATAAAAAAACGGTACATTGTGTCTTCGCAACCGCTAACTCAGTAAGAATACCAAAGACAAACTTTGTAACTTGAGCCACAAAGTTGGGCGAGATGCCCCGACAGGTTAGAGCGCGAATTTACTGACCGTGGTTCGAACCCAACCTCTGCCTCCCGAGTTCCCCTATCTAGCCTTGGGCAACCTGCCAGTATCACAGCCCTCGTGCAACCTTCGGGTGGCATGGCAATTAGGCACTGAAGGGGTGCTACAGCTGGACTTGAGCCACCAACATTATAGCTTGTATGTGGGTGTTGATAGCCTGGTGGACCTCAAGTTTCCTTCGAGTTACATGGCATCTATGAACTGAATCGGTCCGAATTAGAAACCATAGTGGGAACCGATCGGGCTAGCCAATCACCTTGGGATACTGATCTTCCAAGATTCGGCTCACGGCTCGCCGGTTTGCTAAAATATTTCTTATTCATTCGTCTGTTCTCGTGACGTATTTTGGTTTCACAATGTTGTCTCATTCTGAGACCATGTAGAAGAAGCTAAAACGCCTGTGTGTTTTTCACGTGCCTTTTCCCTTTATCCACCTATTCTTTTTTTCTCTGGACTAGCCTTGGGGATCAATGAGACGCTTGTACAGCGCCAACGTCCGGTATCCTCACACCCAACAGTGAAAATATTTCTTATTCATTCGTCTGTTCTCGTGACGTATTTTGGTTTCACAATGTTGTCTCATTCTGAGACCATGTAGAAGAAGCTAAAACGCCTGTGTGTTTTTCACGTGCCTTTTCCCTTTATCCACCTATTCTTTTTTTCTCTGGACTAGCCGTTGGGGATCATGAGACGCTTGTACAGCGCCAACGTCCGGTATCCTCACACCCAACAGTGTTGGTGGTCGATGGCCACTCCAGACCTACAGGCAATAATAACGTGACGCGTCCGATCTCGATGCGCTACGAATCCGCTCACTCCCCCGAACCAACGGTAGCCCCCCTGCCCCTCGTTCGTTCCGCATGCCTCCGTCTGCACATCCTCCCACTTTTGGAGAACGTAAGTTGGTGCCATTTACGCTCAGCTCTTCGAAACATGTGATCCGATTTCGTAATAAGCTCACAGGTTAGGTTCAGCATCCATGTTACATCGTTCATCAGTTTTTAAAGAAAAGTAGATGAGGGCGCAATTGTCGCAGTTCTAGTTCCTTCCTTTCTCGTACGTCCCCTGTCGACACCAGTGTATTTATTGCTGACATTTTTGCTCAGCAGCTGAACGCTTCCTTAATCTTAGTATCTGAATTCTTTCAGGATTTGCCTGCCTACTAGAAACTTAGTCAGTAGTTAAGTTGGAATGCCAGTAAACAGGCCGGTCAGATCCTGTAGTTTACTACGTTGCGTGAAGCCGGACCTCACTGTCCAACTTTGGATTATACAGAATGTCCCCCTTCAAAATTGGCCGAGGCTTTCAGAAGGATTCTAGATCGGCTTTGAAAAAAAATATGGGGAAGCAACTTAACTTGCCGCACTTTGCCCAAATGACAGACGATGCCTTTGTCAGAGTTCAAATTGTCTCTCTGTTCACCAGTGCCATTTTATGAGAAGTTTATTGGAATGGTACTGTTGTCCTAGAAACCGCACACCTGTTTCTATACAGGAGATTTCCGAAGATACGGAGTTACTTTCAAGGTTTACTGTCTTTACCTTAGAAAGGCTCGTTTCGTTCGTTGTTGCCAACCTCTTTTTAGCCCGCCTTGAATCGCAACTGCTTTACAGTTTTCACTCGTCCATCACGAGAGCGCTGTAATGCGAAGATCAATTTATTTTAATGGAGCATGTAACCATGTTCTGTTCGCTAAGGTCAGTAATCCTGACCGCCAACCAATTCGCTCAGACGGTTACTTGAAATGCACACTTACTCATCCGTCGAGTATGAAATCAGCAATGATTGTCAACGTACTGATCCACCGAGCCCACTAAATTTGCAGCGCCATACCATCTAAGTGACGCGAAGGCATTCCTTAGGTTATCCCTAGGTAGCAATGAGTATTGTTCAGAGTTTACCGACTGTATCCTGCCGTCACGAAGTTCAGGTGCACGGGTCAGCCCGAAAAGTTAACACACACGTACCAAAGACACGCAGTAGAAAGTTTCCATCGCATGTTGTCCATCTGTATCGTTGACAAAAGCTTCCAGGTGGGCAGATTACTCCTGTCGAGGAACTAATTAGACTACATGACCGAACCAACCATCATCTAAATGGACTGCGCCAACTGTGGCTTAGCCTTGATGAGCTGAACGTTCATGTCGGTGGAGATCGATCGCGCAGTTTTTTAGGAACCCCGGTCAATTGCACAAATTTGAATGGGACCCGGCGATTTCATTGCACTCATCAGCCAAAGATCGTAGGATCAGTTTCGATAATGAGCATATGATCGATTTCATGCCGAACCCATAGCTACTGATCTGAACCCGTCCCGCGTCAACTGGTTTGATGGCGTCATCTGTCACTCAGTTTGGTTTGCTTCACTACGCACAAGAAATGGAATTTAGGCTTCAGGGCAACAGGTTATCACAGCAACCTTGATATCTGCGTTGGTTTTCGTTCAGCGGCGACGTCCATTCGAGTGCAAACCTCATTCGTCATTTGTTCTGCACTACTCATAAGGTTGCTGAAAACTCCTCGACAGCCCACGACCAGTTTCGCCCTTCTTGGGGCCCATCAGGTAGGCGCAGTAGTAGAGTAGAGTAGAGTAGTTGATAACAAATATATATGTATCGCAATATCTCGAATATCGTAGCGACTGAAACGTGAGGCAGCCTGGTGCAGCACATTCAGTTGCCTGAGGACATCATAAACGAGAGATTCAGCTGGGTTCCAGAGGAGTCTCTCGCAAAACCATATTTGTTTGCAAGTGAGTGTATTTCGCTCATTTGTTATTCTTTGGTCAACCAAGCCTCACAACCCCACGCATATGGGGTATTTGAGTTGTGATCAGTCTCAACTCTGAAAGTAGTTTTATTTTTGAGCTTTTTCGGATTAATCTGGCTGCTAGATGGTCCGAATTGATCGGAAATTTTTCCCACAATATTGTTTTGAAAGCGCCAAAAGGCAGTCATTCATGGGACGATTTTTGCATATGGGCGTTCGATCGATCTGGGGTAATTTGTTTTTTTTTTCATTTCTAAAAATGACCAGTTCTACTGTCAAAACGAGAAAATTCATGGGCACACGACGTGGACTTCAGGGCGGAGTTTTTGTGTTTGGTGTGTTGTCCGGTGGTAGCCAAAAGTCTACACGTTCTTACCTTTCAGCTCCGGGGTGTCTACGATCAAATTCGCAGTGGTGCAGCCGATTCTATAGATGAGCTCGTCTCCGCATTCGAAACGGTCGACAGGAGTTCGCCGCAGTTCACTACACAATTTGTTGTGGAGTTACTCGGCCGTGCACTGGACAGCAATCCGCTAATATCGTCCAACGTCAAACGACGTGCACTCGATCGCCTTCGAATGGGACCCCCTGTGTAGATTTGTTACTCTTACCCATCTCTCCTGTTGCTTCCCGTTAGGTGTTTTGGTAAGTTCTGTAGTAACGGTATTTCTCTCAGCTTAGCTTCTCGGTCTGAGCCTCCTAAGCTAGCGTTCACGTCAAAAACAACCACCAAAGGTGTACAAGGTATATCAGGAGCAGTTGTACAACGCTTCGTATATATGGCGTAGGCGTTTATAACTTTCTGGAAATTCTGACGCGTTCTGGATGCGCCATTGGCAATCGGCATTTGGGCGATACTGGGTGATGATTGGCTGTTGGGTCCAGACTTTCGACCCATCGGATCTCATCTTGATGCCGGACCGGCAAGCGTCCCGAATTCTTAGCCAATCTTGCGTGGGGTGGACTTCTCGGCCGTAGCAGCACCTGAGTGCGAGTGGTAAGGAGGGATCCGTGTGGAATTCCACCTAACAAGTTCCCAGTGTGATTTTGATTGTGGCCTACAAAACTGGAGGTTTTCTAACCCATTTCGTTCCGTTCATTTGTCATCCGACAGTCGGTTGATCATTGGTCAGCTAGTGTGAGTGGTCGGCGTGCGAGGCAGATTTGTCGGGCAATGATTGGGCGTCTGGGCTATTCTTATCAGGTTGCCAAAGGATTGTTCTTGACGGAATAGGAACAGTGGGCATGCGTTGTCAGCCATTAATCGGAATACTGGATCGCGCATGGTTTGTTGTTGAGCGACTGCAAAGAAGGCCACAGTTTGGGACGATGTGGCTTGTCCCCTTATCTGGCCAGTGACACAGGAAATTCTAGGCATGTATTTTGACCCCCAGTTCTTCCTGAAATCCGGTCTATCATAGTTATTTGTCCAGGTGCGACTAACACCGCTAGATCATGATTATCGTTGATTTAAAGTTGTCACTGCCATACCACGAGATTTGTCAACTTTGTGTCAAGTGCTTCCTTTCTGGACTGCATCGATTCACTCGATTGTTTTATCCGTCCTGCACCTGAAGTAAACAATATCGGTGAAGGGAAGTGGACATTGGGGGTTGCGTATCTATCATGGACCATGCATTTCTCGACGTAGCTGGCGATTTTTACCGAAAATCAGCCAGCCAAGGTGCCTAATTGGTGACGTCATCAGTGCATTGTGATGAGTGGAAATGTCACTTTCAACACACTGTTGATGTCATCTCGAGTGGTAATCAAACGTTTTCAAGCAAGTCGCCCAGCTCAGCGAACGAACTAACGGTTATCACTACAATCGGAGCTGCTAATGTTCTCTTCATTTACAATGCCCAGTTCGCCTACGATCGTCAAGTTGTTTAACTGACAGGTCAGGCCGGCAAGGATGCTGCGGCGATCAGTTCGGCTCGGTACTTTGCATTCGCACAAAAACCATCGCAACACACTATACATAAGGCCTTTCGTTGCTGGGCCCTGGTAACCCAATAGACAGCCATCGCCGTAGCACCCTTCCGGTGCCTAACTGCCCCGCAACCCGAAGGTTTCACGAGGTCTGGAATACTGCCAGTATGCCAAAGCCTAGACAGGGGATGTCGAGATGCAGAGGTCGGGCTCGAACCACGGACCTTCCGGTCAGTAAACTCGTGCTCTAACCACTTCAGCCATCTCGCCCCCATTCGATAGTATCCCAGAATTTTGTCCTCGGGTTCGAACTCAAGCGCTTTCAGGTTAGCTGTTGGTTCTATAGTAAAGACGCAAAAGGTACTTTCTACTTCAACTGTGCATGTTCAAACGGCTAAATTCGCACCTCCTGTTATCATGCAACGCCCTTTTTTAATTTTGAACGACTACCTTGGTCAGGTTGAGTCAGCTTCAGCAATGTCTCGAAGGGGAACTGCCAGATATACACAGGTCGCGATCCAGTCCTGATTTCATTGGCGTACTCTGCGGACTGCGTGGAGACTGTTGCTGATTGTCGTGGTCCATGTTTTTAAATGTTCTCTGATCCGGCAACGCCACTATTGAAGTTCTGTTTAGGGATTTCTAGCATCGTTCTTGCGTACTAGATGGCCAACCCACAGTAGACGTCATCATGCAAAGACCTGAGATAAGCATAACTGATTATAACATGGCTTCCAGATCTCGTCACGATCCAAGTGACGAGTTTTGGGTATACGTTAGGGAAACCTCTGGCTTCCGGATGTCCTCAACTAGCGGAGGCCACGTTTCCCAGGCATAAATTAGTATTAGGAAGACCGGTGAGTTGATGACGTGGATTTTTGTGCTCGGATTAATTTCAGTCGTTTTTTTGCCACAGCTCATTGTTCACCTGCATGTTTAGCGCAGTACTTATCTCGTTTGTCTGTTGGTAAGATGGTTGGGCCCAGAATTTGAATCCAGAAACTTGTTCCGTCTCTCCACCACGCAGACACGTCCATGTGGGTGGATCATCAGTGCCAATACTGATGTTGCTGTCTTTGATGATGATGATGATGAAGAAGGCCTGGTCTTTATAGTATTGTCTTCTAGTCCTACAAGGGACGCGTTTTCACGGCCTATTCGTAGGAATCAGGAGCGACGAAATAGTGCCCATGGGTAGTCGATGGCTGGACTAGAACCACTAAAAGTGATTAGATACTTGTGTACGACTCGCTTGCACCTCAGATCGGTGAGGATGCGCGCGAGTCCGTAGCTCTGTTGACTTTCTCACGCTGACCTTGTTCTCGGTTTCTATTCATCTGAAATTGCAGCCAAACTTTCGGGCGAAATCAATGCAACTGTACGTCCAAAGTTTGCATACCCACTCGTCCAATAACGGAGAACTATACCAGGACTTTCGTGACTGGTGGCTGCGTGCATCTCTGATTAGGACAGATGGCAACAGTTACTCTCCCAAGACATTCCCTGTCCGGTCAACTAACTACATCGTGACTCCTGGTTAGTTTGTCGTCCATCCTAGCCCCCCCCCCAACTGCCCAATCGTGTCTCTCACTCGCTATCGACATAAGGAGGCCATGTGAATGCATTGTATAGCTGCTCACATTCTGTCCTTCCGCACAACGATATTTTCACCTGACATTTTTCTACCTTTGAGCCTCGGCTCAACACATTTTTCGGTCCATTACTATTTATTTCCACATTAACGATGGCGTTCGGTGGCCAGAGGGCAATGCCCCTAAAATTTTGCATTTTATTTTTAAGCTTTTCTCACGAATTCAAGTGCTCTAGTATCCGGCTTTCTCAGTGTGATCACCACTGTTGGTGCGGATGTGTGTGTGTGTGCGTGCGGAGAACACGGTGGTTAAGGCAGAGAGGATTGCACAGTATTCTTTTCTATGTACCCTGTATTTTTGCATTCTCCCCGCACCCGTGGCTTCCAATCTGTGTTGGTGATGTTGTGTTCCGATTGCCCGCTTTGTCTACCTCTGTTTGTTCATGATTCGGATCTCTTCCCCCCCCCCGCCCGTTTGTTCCACCGAATGAACCAGTAAAACACAAAAAGCACGACCGTCTTTGATTGACCAAACGCGCCTTTTCCCGACGTTCATTCTCCGGCCACTTTGGATTGTCTGTTGCTATGATGTTTTTTGCCTTTCCTAGTTGTGCTTGATAATTCTCCCTTCGTCGCCAGATTTGTCGATCACCACGGATCACCCGTGGTTTCGGACATGGTTCATAATTTCTCTTCTCTTTCTCTCCCTTTCCATTTTTCTTCATTACTTTTTGACATCCGAATTAGTCAACGTCACGCGTATTTCACTTTTGGTGGACTATCCTTGGATACGGTCGATGATGATAATGTATAACTGATAGCTACTCACATTTCGGCTCAGCAGCGAAACTCCACTGCGGAATTTCGCGATTCGAATCCCCCGCCCCAGGAATGGAGAGTGCTTTTGGACAAAAATAGAACATTCGAGAGAAGGTTGTCCTAATTACAAAGGTAGTCGTTCAGCTGTAACATCTTTTCGGTGTCTAGCTGGCATGGCCACCGAGGGCAGCACGAGGGTTGGGATATTGCCCAAGCCTAGATAGAGGAAGTCGAGAAGCAGAGGTCCGGTTCGAACCACGGACCCTCCGGTCAGTAAATCCGCGCTCTATCTTGTGGCCTCGAGTATTCCAAATGACCTCGAACATACATGGGATCCACTCGCGTTCTGTTCATTTGCTTGCAAGACCGCGCTGCATCGGTAGAGCCACTTCGGATATTCGAATGGATGCACTTTCTTCAATCACGAGTAACAATAAGTTGTTCGTGGGGTTCTTGCTTTCTGAAACATTCCTCAGCTTGTAACGACCAATGCAACTATCGCGAGTGATCTAAGCTGGATCACATCATTTGGACTTTTAAAGGCTTAAGCGTCACCTGAAAACACGGGAAAGGGAGCCTGGTGAACATGTGGCCATCGTTCTCATGTGACGGCGTGCGCATTTGTCGTCCGAAATCATTAAACGGTTGAGCAACACTGGGCATGTTTGTTCGGACTTGTTTGATGAAATGCAAAGCAGAACGCGGACGTATCATGCAGCTCATAGGGTTGCTGAAAACTCTTCGACAGCGCACGATCGGTTTCACCCTTCTTGGGCTCATCATGCAGGTTCAGTACCCGAGTTTCTGGCAATCGTATGTTCCACTTGAACCAAAACTGCTCGAAATTCGACTAATACACTCATCCGCATCCAAATTTGGTTCTCAGGGGAGAACCACCTGGAACCCAGATGAATCTGTCTCTCCCTGCCGCCTTGTGTTTGATTTGGTACCTGATGGGCCCCAAGAAGTGCGGATCAGTTGGGAATTTCAGCAACCGTATGAGTAGCGTATCAATTCTGTGCACTGTATTGTCAACACCCACCCTTCTCCCTTTGCGGCGGTCATCTCTTGAATAAGCATCCAATCTGAAAATGAATGATAAGGGGGATTATACTGTGGTTACTAGCTGTTCCAAATAGGCAACGGGTCGTACACACTGCAATGACTTCAAATGGACACCTTCTACCACGATCCTAATGTGTCGGCTCACCTCTCGCCATGGAAATTAGCAGAACAACCGTTCCGAACGACGTAGAGAGTGAAACGCATGTCCCTGAGTCCGAGTTCTGGACTTTATGTTCTCGTATGTGACTGTCGTATCTAATCTCGCTAGCCCAACAGTTGCATGACATCTATGCGTCGGAACAAGACGGGACTACATGTTGATGCTTTCATCCGCATGTAGACCTCTACGGAAGTTCAACTCACGTTAACGGAGGTCAGTCCGGCTGACCGTCAGCCCTGACCATATCGCAGATGGCTTAGCTACGATAAGGCGGACATGTCACAGAATCATACCAGCTTCCCTCTGCGAATACAGTCCCGTTTATCTGCTACCTTCGTTAACCTACCGATTTACCCTCGAACCATGGTCATGTGTTCGCAGTGGGACAAAACCCCGAACAGTCCATCAAAAAAATATCAAATTCTGAGGATAAGCGATGCAAGAATAGGTTTACTTAGCAAAATCCAACAGACCAGACCAAAATGTTTGCTTCATTTTCATTTCATAGAATCTCGGCTGGCGCGATTTTTGAAGGAGGGAGTCAATGAAAAAAAAACACAAGAAAACTCAAATCTAGTGCGACGATAATGAAATTAGAAAAAATTAGGCGCGAATCTTCTCGGTATTGACAAATTGGCGAACTGGTGTGCACGTGTGTGTGTGTGTGTGTGTAGGTACTCCTAGGTATTATGCAGTGGCTGTCCAACGAAATAAATAAAATGAGACAGATGAAACGAAATCGGTGTGAAAAGTGGATATTGATTGTCTGAACCGGGGTTTGTCCGGGTTAACTTGAGAGAGAAGTATAGTACACGGGAATCGTTGACTAGGAATCCGCGCGCCGATCGAGGAATGCAGGGTAAACAATCGATCGGCTGTAGTCGAATTTAGGCAACCACAATTGGTGGACAAGGCTAAGAAGACGGCATCGCAGCCCGTATTTGTTCCCGAGCGAGCAGAATCAAAGGGATTAAACTTTGAACGTGTTTGCTTTTGGTCAGGATGAGAGGATGCTGGAACGGAGATGAAAACATTTCCCATGAATTCTCATGGAATCATCAAGTAACCGACTAGGCGGTTCATAAGAGACAGTAGGCAGACAGTAAAACGGTGGAGAATAACTGATTATGCAACGTTTATTGAGCAGTTCTGTCGGTTCCCACTTATTCGATCGGCTAGCTATCTGTGGCGACCAATTTAAAGTTGAACAACTCGCTGAAAATTTCCTCACTGACAAAGGGACCACTAATGAGCTAGGTGAGCATACATAACACAACCACAAGCTGAGGGACGGGTCGATTCGTCGATGACATCGACGTATCTGGTGATGGGGTTGCTCAGCGAAGGAAGCACGAGGGCTGGGATACTGCCAGGTTGCCCAAACCTAGACAGAGGAAGTCGAGAGGCAGAGGTCGGGTTGGAAACACGGACATTCCGGTCAGTAAATTCGCGCTCTAACCACTTGAGCCATCCCGCCCTGCTCAGCGAACCAGCTGGTTCAAGTCTATGAACTCCTTCATCGTAACACTCGGGGATAATCTGTACGACCAATCACTAGGAGGTGTGGTGGTTGATGTATGAAACTGTGAACTTGATGATCCTTGCTCGTGTCTGGATTCGTTGACCCTCGTGCTTCCTTCAAGTTGCACGGCAGCTATGCACCAAAAGGGTGCCGCGGTTGAACGTTGGTTGCCTGCTAAGACAAGCGCAGTCAACGTCCAATCAACGACTTTGTTCTTCATAGTGTACGTTTGAAGTGACGCATTAATGAGCTTGATTGGACTCTTCGAATGCCTCGGTCCATGCATGAACAAGCCCACTTGGGACTGAATTGTCCTCTTCTACGGCGATGCTCTGGTGGATACCACACCTCAATCGTAGTGACAGTGGCTTAAAAATGATATACGTAGGCGCCCCTACTGACTCGAGAAGCGGCTCACCAATCTATAAAAGTAGGATTGGTTTCATAAATGAAACTACTCACAAGGTTGCTGAAAACTCTTCGATTGGTTTCATCCTGAACCACATTCACAGCAAGCAACTCGTCGCCTAACAGCCAACAGAAAAAAAGTCAAGTGATCAAGATTTGCCGCTATCTGGAACTGGCTAGGTAAAACCTACCATGATACTTACCTTCAAAAGATTTGCTGCTGAGGCACGTAACTGTACATCTACTTCGAGACATCGGTCCAAAAAGTTTAGAAGCTCGGTGCTGAGATTGTCTTTGCAAAAATCCGGTTTGCCATTCGTGGCAATCAAATAGAGCGCCTGTAGTATGAGAGAAAGAAAAAAAGGAGACAATCCAAAATGAGAGACCCTCACAACAAATTGGTTTCACTTTGTCCATTGAGACAGTTACTATCGAGAAAGGATGATGTACAATGTGTCTCCTTAAAGATATTCGCTTTTAAAACAGATCACTTACTACTGATGCCTTCAAATGGTTTCCCCAGAGGGAGAACTGAGAAGTTTGTTTCCTACCGGGAACTCACCAAAGGGGCCAAAACCAAGTGGTTTGGTCTGAGAATTGGTCTTTACAGAGGAGAAAGTTACAGTAACTCTGTGCTGTACAAAGGAAAAAACGTCACAGGACGCACATTCACTTGGATAGGGGGGATCTGGGAATACATGTAAGTGTCGTTGCGAGAATTTCACACCTTTGTTCATGTTTGAAGCCTCTTTTGAGCCACGGGAATACTTGGGGTTGAAGGTTGGTCTTACTGATGGGAAACTCATTGGAAGAGAGGTTATTGTACATGACTGTCTGGTTCCAAGAGCGCGAGCCAGCCACACTTTAGGGATGCTCACAGGGTCAGAACTATCTCCCTTCTGGGTGCCTTCCGGGTAACTGAGTGCTTTTATGGCTCTAAATTACAAAACCACGTGCCAGTATGACTCGGTGTTGTAGGCCAGGTGCAGAAGTGGACGCCGGAAGACCTTTGAAGCACCTTTACTACGTAACTTTCCTCTATCTATGTGATCACAACCAGCGAACAGGTAAACTCGATACTTGTGAGAGGAACTAGTTGTGTGAGTACCTCTCAGTGACGCATGGGACTATATCGGGTCCTCATTGAACACCGTGTGGAACTCACCTTCAACGGATTTTCACTCAAATACGGCGGCTCTCCTTCGATCATCTCCAGAGTCATGATACCCAAAGACCAAATATCCACCTTGTTCCCGTAAGGTTTTCGGCTCACGATTTCCGGAGCCATCCAGTACGGAGTTCCCACCATAGTGTTCCGTTTCAGCCCAGAGTCGGAAGTGAGCTGGGCACAGAAACCAAAGTCGGTGAGTTTCACCGAACCGTCCAAGCCGAGCAGGATGTTGTCGGATTTGATGTCACGATGGATGACTTGTTTGGAATGCAAAAATTCCAGAGCCTGGAGGGTCTGTAGGCAGATGGGTGAACATCAGATAAGAAGCCAAAATAATCGCCACAAAAAAATCCAACCTTATTCTAGCCCAATGGGGTCTATTTCGTGCAGAGATCGCCCTCACCTGATGCTGTTTCAAGGTGATTGATACGCCACTGGTCTCACTGTTTATTCGGGGATGAACCAGAGAAAAAACAAGACGTACCTCACGACAAACCGTGGCAATATGCGACTCGGACATGCATGTCTCCGTGAGGACATCTGTAAGCGAACCACCATCTAGGTACTCCATCACGACCCAGAGTTCATCTCCGCGCTGTAAAAGGGACAAGCACCAGAGAGGAATGAGCCGGCAAACAACACCCTAGAGAAAGGATGCTCCCGGGTCAGTTATCATTTGTGCGCCTAACTGGACGAAAAGATGGCAGTAGACCATTTGATATGATAAAAGGGACAACCTGTGACAAAAATTGTGTAACATTATCGTTGTGTTCTCTCGTCGACAAAGGTGTCGGCTAGGTTTTCGATCCAGAACCCTCCTTAAAGCACGTCAAGATAATTCTACTCACTGCCGCTTAGTCCACGTGTTTCAGGGTAGAAAATAACTCAGATGGGTTTCCCTCCTTAGTGGCGGGCGAGATGGCCCAAGTTGTTAGAGCGCGAATTTACTGACCGGAAGGTCGAACCCGACCTCTGCTTCTCGGCTTCCCCTGTCTAGGCTTGGGCACACTGGCAGTATCCCAGCCCTCGTGCTTCCTTCTGGTGGCATGGCAGCTAGGCACCGAAAGGATGTTACAGCTGAACCGTTTTTTCTCCTTAGTTAGTGAAGATAAGGTCGGTACTTTAGAGTACCTGTTTGGGGGTAGAGCGGTCAGTGACGAAAATTGACTGAAATTGCCACTGCTGTTTCGCGGATCACAATCGAACGATCAGGCGATTCTATATATCACGGTGGAAAACTTGGATAGATTCATTTGGCGGTTATTAACGATCGGGCGTTTTGTAATTGGACAGGTTTAGCTTCTCCGGATCGAATGTAGGACGTTAAATGCTCAGTTGTTCTACAGGATAAACACCCGGTGGCATGCGTTCACCAATCAAGTCTATAGGGTAATGCCATCGAAAGAGGTGCAACTGACACCGTCCGTGCAGCTCGAAACGATGCTTTGCGATGGGAATCGCCTTGATACATTTAAATGATGATTCACTTGATGTGTGAAGTGGCATTTTAAACAGTGTCCACGTTCGCTTATAGATAGACAGCGCACATTCGGCTATTGTTAGAGATTTGTTCGCATGAACTTCCAATCTACCGTGTGGGCTGTACGATTGCTGGTACGCTTGTCAAAAGCTAGAAGACTATTCTCTTCCGGGGAATAGCAGTAGCTATTTGGGACGCTCCACGAGGGTGGTTTCTCTTCGGAGGTCTCCTTTTGGGGGTCGTAGACGCCAAAGGACCTAACTGGAATAAGGAACTGCTTTCGAATAGATCGCCTTAGCTAAAGCGGGGTGGTCGCACATTTCATTCAATCGGTGGACTATTCTTGCACAAGCAATTGTCCGATAAGCGAAACCGGAACACGTCTACCTCACTGGGGACGCAAACGGCGCCCAACATTCTGCACCCGACTGACTTCTCGTTAAATTTGGTGGTAGCCGGAGAGCTTCGAAGATGAAAAAGTTCAGGGCTTTTTCACAGAAAATTGGTCCTAAAGTGAGACGAAAGTGATTAGATAGGGTCTTATAGTGCACGAGTCTACGTGAAGAAAACATTGGTAGCGGAGGTTGATCCAACTACATACAAGTCAGATGTTGCGAAAAGTCAGAGATGGCCAAGTGTGACGCAGGCGATGACGTAAAGATCTATCTGACAGGAACGACTGAACCGTGTTTTGTCCGATTCGGGCGTGGTGTCACCAGTGCCACGAGGACAGAGGCTTTTAACAAGAGGTATTAAACGGTTCAGTGTTTAGGACTTGTCTTGCGTGGCGCTGAATACTTCCATCACCAGTACGTAGAAGGCATACAAGGAACTTTAACCAGAGGAAAACTTGCGAAGCGAAGTGGGCCATAGATATGATTAGCGAGGTCTGCTCGGATTGACAAATTCTCAAACCACTGTGAGGAGGGTTATCTGAGAAAGGAATCTTATCACGGTAGACGACCCACCGTACCCGTCTCTTCTGAGATGCACCGCCATTATTGGAGACGACATTTCAGGCAGATGGAAGGGAAAGAGGTGTGTCACTTGGATGGAAAGGGGACGGGACTGCGAGCAAACCAACTGCACTAACAGTCACAAAACTGGGTAGATGTCGCTTGAAGTTGGGAGGTACGGGCATATAAAAACTTTGATCTGCGTTTCCATGACTTGTGTGGTCCAGTCTTCAAATAAGCGTCAGGAAACGGGCCGTCGGCTCCAGAAGGGGAAGGTGGTATGTGGCGAAAAGTCAAAAAGCACTGCAATGCTGTTTTACATCCATTAGGAATACGCATGCTGCCTCCGTACAAGCCAGTTTGGACTGGAACCCCCAAAAGTCTTCATTCGTTCCTGTAGGCTGCTTGTGGTACTTTGGAGGTGAGAGGGTGGATCCGTTAAAAACCCGAATTCCGGCATTTCAAACTAAGTTGATCACGTATGAAATCGGCCGTAAGAGAGCGAAGTGATTAGTTTCCCATCCCGGCATCGATTCATGGACATCTGTACGAAACAAATTGCTTTTCGTGGTCTATGGCGAAAGCCAGAAGTGCAGTTGTGTCAACAAAGTTAACCCTTCCGTTGGACCAAATTACAACAATTACACATGATGTGACAGTCGACCAACGTTCGTTCATCATGGAATCAAGCGTCACGAATTGCTCACGTAAGCATAAATCGCACGATGATCAATCAAACGGTCCGAAAAAAGACGAACATGTGGGGAACGATTTAAAGTAGACCATAAGAGAAGTTGCATAATAGATGCTACAAGTGATGCTATTGGGGAATGGGATACTAAAGGACACAGAAGCGTCCCATGTTTATTGCCTGTTGTGCGGGAACTACAATTCGAACAGGATCAAAATGATAGGATACAAACAAAACAGAGGTTTCCACATTATCATCGACAGCATGACATCAGTGTTCAACACCGATGCTTCACTGCCGTACTTGAACGAGGGCTGGGATACTTTCAGGGCGCCAACACCTAGACAGAAGGACGATTAGGGTCCTCAACCAAAGCCTTTGGCTCAAAAGCCTAACCGCAAGGCAGCGGTGTTTGGCGGGAAATGCAAATGCATTACCATTTCTACGGAACGAGTTGCCTCATGTTCCAACCCCCAACCTGGAGGGCCAGGGGACTATGATCGTCAGACCTCTAACCATTGACCAACCTCGTATGAGAGACTCTGTGAGTGTCACAGGGACACTCCCCAGTATAGCTCAATGGATCGCTGAGGTGCGCAAACCGTCACACCACAATAAGGTCCAGTTTCTTCATGACGGATAATTTATTTCGCCTGTCACAGAGTTCGATGGTTTGGTCGATAGCCCGGGAAAAGAAGACTTTCTGTGATAAGGGACTACACTGATCAGGTAGCTAGATCATCACGATACTAGTTGGCACCCCAAAATTTCACAAAATCGCCAAAATCATCTGAAGCATCCACCCCCGCCAACAAATGCGCTCATATATGTATCCAAAACGAACCGACGGCAAAAGTGAATCCTCACAGGCGAGTAATTCGTGCAGTTTCGTTTTGGACCGTTCAAGTGGGTTCAGCCTACCCCAGACCCCCAGAGTAGAGCTTATCTTTGTTTTTCAAGCAGGTGTCTGAGTGATGTCAAGCAACTTGGTCCGTCTTGCATACTGCAACTGAAAAGTCGCCTAGTAGGTGGTTTTGCAAAGAGACTGATGAAGTTCATGAACAAGCTACAGGAAATCAATCTGGAGAAGGATGAAGTCGACGGCACAATTCAATCCACCACAACCTCGCCAAAGAAACAATAAAGAAATCGCTTGGAGTAGTTCAACTATGGAAGGACCCAAGAAGTCGGACGCAAGTCTACAGGGTGTCTCATAATAGACGCAAAATTTGATTGGGTTAACGTAGGTAATCAGAGGAAGGATGTCAAAAGCTTCCATTATTAGTAGCCACATAAAGGAGGTTTTGTGTGCGAGTGTCGGCACTTTTTCCGTCTACGATGGATGTCAGTACGCGCATTGAAATTGTGAAACTCTATTATTCCCTTGGTGAAAACGCCACCGCTGCATTTCGTGGTTACAAAACCAAACATGGTTTCATCAAAGATCCTTTCACCGTGTCGACCATTACACGCTTGATTACGAGATTTGAGTCCACTGGATCTGTATTGGATTTTCCTGGCAAAGGGAGAAAGTCTCTGAGTGATGAAAGAGCGCCGATTGTTCAGAATGCCGTCGAGCAACTTCGGTCTCAGAGGATCTTCTTGAATAACTCAGGTGTCTCAGTTGACCGGCATTCCGCGCGCCAGCGTGCATCGTATTATGAGACGCCACCTTCATCAAGTCTCGTGTATATCATGAAAATAAACCGAAGAATTTGATGGAGTTAAGAGGAGTGTGCACGAGTGACGCTTGAGGAAGTTAAACATGCTGTGTCTCGCGTCTCATACCACCTGCAACTTGTTATAGAAGAAAGGGGCGGTTTCTTTCGACATCTTTTGTAATGCCAGTTTGTTCACAGTAAACTTCCATGATGCATGTGTGTCCAAATAAAAATGATAAATGTTTGAATTGACGTTGAAGTTTTAAAATGAATACTATTTTTTGCGTCTATTATGAGACACACTGTGCTTTGCTAAACAGGTGCACTTAAGGAGAATTCACTAGGATGCAGAAATGGGGTTGCGTTGTAACATCAAACACCGCACCCGATCAGTCACGTTTAAGGCACCTTGATCATCGCATAGTGACACTCATCACAAAACGCACACGAACAACTCGGAGGCCATCTTTAGGGGTATCAAATCGAACTGGAAAGCACTAACGTTCTTGGACGTTTTTAGTGAGTATAAGGGTGAATGGACCTTTCGAAATATGCGTGTACTGGAAGGAGACCAAATATTTGTCGGCAAGAGCCACTAACCGGTGAGGACACACTTAAATTAAAGGAAGCAGAGGAGAACGAGCTGGTCAGACTACTCAAAACGACATTTAAAATATCCAAGAGATTTTTCTTCACACTCATAAGGTCGAAGACAACTCTGGACAGCCTGCTACCCGTTTCACTGCTCATCAGGGAGGCTTGGCTCCGGGGTGTCGTACTCAGAGACCAACTTGTACAAAGGTAACACACTCGTTAGCAGCACAAGAAGTCGGCGTTAGTGGGGGACTCAAATGACACATTAACTGAATTTATCGCCAAAGAATTTCATCAAAACTGATGAAAATGTAAACACCCGGACAGTAACGTTGTCAGGAAAAAGCAAGCAGCCAGAGGGATAATATTACTCTCAGATCAGGCATATAGCGAGATTATTACGTCAAAACAGAGTCCAGGGTTGCCAATAAACTGAATACTGCTCTGTTGAGGACGATGTGAAGACCTGTGGATAATATTGAAAAAAAATACTAGAGGAACTAAATGCGAACGGATAAAGGAATCTAACGCAACCGTCATAAGAAACGGTCCACCGTGTTAGATCACTTTAAACGAAGATCAAGACGGCCATTAGTTGAACTCGAAATAATCTTGGCACACGGAATACAGGACGGGGGAAGGGAGATCTTGGTACTCGGCGACAAATTCGATGGACCGAACTACGCAGCGTCACGTGTAATGGACAAGGAATTCCACTGAAGGCATCCAACGGGGCCGGATTGTAGATGAACAAACGAGAGAGAGACCAACCAAACAACTAATGGTGGTCGAACGTCGGTACACGAACACCTTAAGAAATGGAACATCATTGAATACTGCTACAGGACGACGTGCAGATAATAGCGGTTTGATTTGTGGTGAAACGATTGTCCACAAAATCGCCCATGTCAGTGAACAAGCTGGTGGCCGTCCATACAACCCGAGCTATAATACGCTTTCACTAAAACTGCAATTTCCTCGTGGTTGGGGCGATATATTGCTATCGTAAAGATGAGCTTAGTGAATTGCTTCAACTTAGAACAGGTGTTATAGAATTCGAATCGTCTTGTAAGCGATTCACACACCAAACTAGTTGAACCAGACACCGACTTACCAGATAGCTATCCAAGTAGTTCACAATATTCTGGTTCCGGTAGGCCCGCATAACGAGAATCTCGTTGAGGATCAACTCCTTCTTTGGCTGCTTTCGCAGGTTCATTTGTTTGATTGCTACCCGGCATCCGGATTGTAAATTTCTACCGATATGCACGATTCCAGAGGCCCTAGATGAAAAAGGATGTAACGATAATGTGAGTTAATGAGGCTCCGAGGACAGGCCAAATGAGCGGCAGCAAGCACTCAGTTCCTGAAAACGTGGATTGCTCCATTACATCGCGTGTTCGCAAACCAGTACCCCTCTAAACCAGGTCTATTCAGAAAGAGGTCGACCTCTACTGGTCCTTTATGGTCTCCATGGGAGATACGGCGCTCCTCGGGAGAGTCCAGAAAGGTGTTGTCTCCCAGGCACAACCTCATGTGAGGGAAATCAGGCGCCCTGTTTGCACGTGACCGTCCATTCCGTATTCGAATCGATCTGTTCGAATGAAACGAAACACTACCGAGGGTGCAAACAAGCCATGAGATAGCGTCATGGAGCGGACGAATGTTCATTCGAATTGCGATCTATGGTCGTATCAGTTGCATGTACTAAACCACACCAGCTACTTCAAACGCAAAACTGTTCAAACACTAGCATTTGGGTCGCCAATGACTGTGGGTGACGGGATGTAGAGAACGACCGAATTGGGAACAGCTGTTAGGGATGGCATTTTGATTGAGAATAAGCTCACAGACACATGCGCCTGACGACCACGAGGTCACCGAAAATAATCAATTAGTCGTTCAACTGTAACATCCTTTCGTGGTCTAGCTATGATGTTAATCGAACAAAGCACTAGAGCTAGGATGGTGTCTGGGTGTCCAAACCTAGACCGGAGCAGTCAGGATGCCGCGGTTGGGTTCGAACCCATAAACCTTGCGACCAGTAAGTTTGTGTACTCAAGACTCCACGATTGAATCATTGCTACCGACAAAAAAAACGTTTCAGATGAAAACTGGACGAGCCTCGTTGAGCTAAGTTTGGAATGCACTTACCCATGCCCAATGCTCCCGAGGGTTTCGTATTTGGCTTGAAACTCGCCTCGAGTCACTATCGCTCGGATGCGATCGATGATCTGTTCGTCGCGTAGTCGGACCATTCTGCGAAAGTTTGGTGAACGTCTGCTGAGCAGTAGCGGAGTGTGAGGCAAGTCTTTGATGGAGTCTGAGCCATTTGGAGTGTGGTGAAATTTGTCCGAGGGCAGTTGCTGCTGAGCCCCAACTGACGAGTCATCCCCGTTTGTGAGACCAGTCAAACTATCGGGAGACATTCGACCTTGATGAGCTGCAGACTGAGGGGGGCAAAAAAACACTTCATTGGAGTACAGAATCTACCGGACGACAACGCATCAAGCATACCATGTTGACGATAAAAAGAGTTTTTCTAATGGGTGACCCGAAAACTCCGCAGGTTACGAGATAAGGGAGCTCTCAATTGAGAAATTCCTTTCTACTGTCGGGAATGAAAAGTGGATAGGTACATCTGATGTGTAGTAAAATGCTGAGGATCTGTTTCTTAGCTTTGAGCAGCACCTTTGTTGGTGTGTTCAAAAGGATTTGGAATTACAAGCACAACTGCCACGTGACTCACACGAAGTATGAGGGCTAAAACAGTGACACGTTGTCAGAGCCTAGACGGGAACAGTCGAGAACCGTGAGCCTTTCGTTCGGTAATTTTACGCCTTAGCCACTGAGCTACCTTGCATAAGGACCATCATCCGAATCCAAAGCTGGATTTGTGGATTTCAGACTCACATCACTTCAGTTTGAACAGTCATTCTTTTATCCTGAGACAATCATTCAGGTAGAAAGAAACGGGATGGAGTTTCGCTCTTATTTGGCTCGACAGCAGTGCACATCCTTGTCGTATCGGGGCTTGAACTCCGCACATCTGATATCCGAGGCGAGAGTGTTACCACTACTAAACCAGCACAGATGGACGCATGTGAATTTTCACGTTTGAACAGTGGAACATATTCACCGTTGAGTCATGTGATTGGTTCGCCTCGAAACCTCGAACGAAGACCCAGTAACTGACTTGGTTGTTTCGACCGATTGACCCATCTGTCAGGAATTCACAGCCAGAATTAGCGCCACCGACGCTTGAAATCTCCTGGAGACATCATGATAGTTCTTACCTAGGCCTGAAGAATCCGGCTGTATTTCAGCCCCCATATCTTCTTCGAGTCATCATCATCACCATCGACAGCATAACATCAGTGTTCAATACCGGCTTCACTGCCATACAACCATGACTTATTTGAAAGCCTTATTGTAAAGAAAAGAGTAAAGGTGCACAGGGAAGGGACTCAGCGCTGGATCAATACAATCATTCCGAGGTGCCTACACCTCCAGACACTCACTCAGGCAATCTGGACAGAAACTGACAACAAGAACTCCACTGACATCGGTTGGCAGCCATATCTTGTAGTGTCTCCAACCAGGCACAGTGAGGATCATGCGGTCCCCATCCTGGAAGGCGAGTAGCACCGACAGCACCCAAGCGTTTCGTAATCTCCTTCATACTCCTCTTCAAAGTCAAGGGTTAGTCACCTCTCTGTTTACGCCACTCTGAATTGGGCACAGAAAGTTGCACAACCGAAAACGCACTTTCTAACTGCCTCGTTACGGATTCACCGACACCAACCCACAAGAGCTATGGTTCTGAGACAACGATTGTCGAACACCTGAAGACGTCTCAGTTCCGTTGCTCGAACAGGCCAAGCCTCATAGCCATACAACAAAACCGCCCGTAGCTTGATACACATGTCCCTTCAGATTCAGGGATAAACCATTCTGACGCCATAGATGTCCCTTCGAGTGACATTGTCTACGATACTCACCTTTATGAGGTAACCCTCTAAAGGGAATACTTACATCTTGGAGACAACCCCAGCTGCAAAGCGTTTTTCTCGAAAAGACGTTCCAGTATCCTAAAGACTGATTTACTCCACGAGAACGAATGCCACGAGGGGAAATGCTCAATATCGTTGAGGGAGATGACGATGGTGAGGATGCCTTAGGATATACATGAACAACAATGGGTAGTTTAGAGGGGATTGAGTTCCGTTCTTCTTCAGTGACATGAACAAACTAGACTAGTGGCATTCAACCTCTGACTCAGGCCTTGCTCACGTGACTTTTTTGCATAGCACATGATTTTCTATCAGAATATGAATTTGGAATGATAAGTTGTACGTTTGAAATGGCACCGCTTCGCGCCAAATGGCTTCTTCTGTCACCTTTCTTGTGTACTTCGTTTTCTATCGTTCTGTTTTCACCATTTTACATGATGCGATTAAAGGGGGGACAGGGGTTCGGGGACCACTGTGTAAGACGGTCGTGTATGCTACGAATCCTGATGCCCGACATCGATATGGTTCCAAGAGCAAACTTACACGTTTATGACGTTTTTGACCATCGGAAACTTTCACCACTGTACGGCCACGTGAATGTGTGGGGTGCGCCTGGTTAATCAGCTGATCTCCACCCGGCCGTTTGTCAGGAGAGGATTCATCAACACCAACCACGTGACTACCACCACCACTCGGAATGTCCAGCTCGTCACTCTGTGGGGAGATGCTACAGGAGATCTCGTCATAGACCTCTTGAAAAGACAAACAGAGGAATGATTTGATAAACGCGATAGTATTGTCGAATTGGGAAGTACAGCTGAATCATCATCATCATCATCGACAGCATGACATCAGTGTTCAACACCGATGCTTCACTGCCGTAGTACAGTTGAAGACCGGACGGAAGTATCCGTAACAAAATAAATCATGCTAATCGTTCAGCTGTAACAGTCTTCTGGTGCCTAGCTGCCATGTCACCCAAGCAAGAAGGCGAAGGGACCACTAGATTGCTCAAACCTAGACATGAGCAGTAGGAATGCCGAGATGGGTTCGAATCACGGACCCTCTGAGCTATGTCGAGCCCCAGTAGTGGCCCAGGGTCCAGTTTAACTACAATCTCGGGGGGAGAGAAAATACAGCAATGTTCAGAGTGTGACTTCGGTTCGAAAAAACTGTACGGTCAACTAATAGTTCCTTGGTTTTCACTCCGACAACAACGGGGGAAATGAAATTAGGAGACTAGGACTGTTGTTGGACAAATGTGCTGTTAGTAGTCGCTAAATGTGTGCAAACGATAGCCTTCTCTCCCAGAGTTAGACAGTGTCTGTGAACAGGCCTTGTAAAGAACTGGGTGAGACAGGAAATCGAGAACAATGCAAAAATGGAACGACCTACACAATTCGAGTCCGAGAACGAAAAGGATACTTTTAGGCGGAGCACTTGAGGGTAAGAGGTTTTTCGATAACGGGTGGGGCACATTTCTGTTGCGCGCATGATCAAAAACACTGTGATCACAGAAAGTTGATACCGTCCCTAAGCACACAGTGGATTTCAAGTATCTTGAATTGCCAGAACTTGAAACTTGGTGGAGTAAAACAGCAGTGGTCCGAGTAAGTTGCAACACACAGGACACATTGGGGCCGCGTTGTGAAGATGCCCGGAAATAAAATGTAAGTAGTATGGGACGAGTACCAAAAATCCGCAGACAACCTATAATAAGAAAGACTATGCCCAAGTGATAAGCACCAAAAGAGGGTGAGACCGGTTCTTTGTGTTCAACACTACTTATAACGGATATTAGCAAGCATTCCGCCACTGTTGTATCAGATAGTTTCAAGGCGATACACTACTGCAACCTTGCTCCCACCTACAAGAATGTGTAGTTTATTATCCGTTATTGATTTTCGATACGCTTCACATCCGAGCGAAATGTGTAGGCTGATCTGAAATCTTGACATTTCAACACAGCCATGGCGATTTTGGGATATTTAAATTTCCGAATAGCCTGTTGGAATACGCAGACTAGTTAGCCGACGGTAAAATAAACGATAAAATCGAAATACTACTCACAAGGTCGCTGAAAACTCACCGGGTAGGCGCAGTTCCCGAGTTCTCTAAAATACACAATTACCGAACTACCGGAAGGTTTGTGGTTCGAATCCGATCTCTGCCCCTTGGCCTCCCCTGTCTAGGCTTGGGCAACCTGGCAGTATCCCAGCCCTCGTGTATCCTTCGTGTGGCATGGCAGCTAGGCACCGAAAGAGTGCTACAGCTGAACGATTATTACTTGTTTCTAACGGGTGCTTGGGACCTACGCCTCCTAATCGAGGTCGGTGTGCACCGAAATTGTGTTAGCGCGCAGACAAGTGGAGTATGGTCAGCGCGGGCAATCTATCGTATTTCGCGGAGGTTTCGTTTCCTGCCTGGCAATAACCCCAGGGACGTACTACATCACTGATGCTGACGGATTCCGGCCGGAAGGAACGTTAAACATGTTTTGGTGTGCGCCGCACCACTTCGCTAAAAGTGGAAATCCCTAACTTCGTAGAAGCCGCACTTTGATACATCGGCAAGTTCTACGAAGAAAAGAATCTCTGTCATCTCGTCGAAACGCAGGCCAAAAGCTCAAACTAGCTGGTGCGAATGATCAGGTTAGGCGGAATCTCGGATCGAAACCGCTTTTACACTTGCAATTAGGCACTACAATGGTCAGATAATGTCGTCATCATCATTGGGTGTAAGAACCTCGTACTTGTCGTATAGTGGTTATAGCTGCCACACAGTTGTTCACCGATGATTTGTGGGGATGAGTAGATAGTTGCGCATTGGAGGCGGCATCTGATAGATTGTTCTGTAAACACAGCAGTGTCAGCGGACTTTTAAGTGGGGAGTTTGGGAGAAGAGCTCTGCATTCAAGACAACAGCCTGAATGTACGGACGCCATTGAGGGTTCGACTTGGTCATGTCTGACAATGTCCCCAACCATTGATGTGGCCCGTCTTGGGTTCCCATCCAGGGAGGGCAATGACTAGTGCAGCTGAGTTTGCTGGTAATGGCTTTCATATTTCTATGCCAAGTAAGTGGTTGACCTGCCGTGGCTCGTTACTACCTTTCACGTGACGGTGCGAAAAAAATTGTTTGAGGAAGTCGGTCGACTGGCATACCGAACATGTGGCCAAGCCAGCGCAACCTATGCAGTGTGATCAGTTCATCTATCATGGACGAGTTATCTCTTTCGAAGACCACTCGGAGTGCTTCAGTGTTCCTGCCAGACTCGGGCGATGTTTCGAAGACATCGATCGTCTAACATTGAAAGCCTTTTAACGTCATTGGCTCGCAGCGGTCAGTTTCTCACCAGTGTAGCAATATGGATCGCACCGCAGCATTGTAACTTCAACCGTTGATGAGTAAGCTGATGTCACTCCTGCGCCACAAGGTGATACATTGTCCCGAAGGAAATACCATTTGTCGTGAGACCACCGGTAATCGTACAGCTGCCCAGGCAGAGAAATTTGTCTACTACCTCAATCGGCTCATAAGCAAGCATGAGGCTAGGGTTCGAGCCTACCCAGTCTTGCAGCAGCATCGTGCAGGTGGGAAGCGCATACCAATACATGAGTCATGTTATTTTGTTTATTATTAAGAGGCCGCTGGGTGCATCAGACCCGTCGGTCGGATAACTGGAAATCAATTGACCAAACGACGTTAGGTTGCGTGATGGGAAGGTTTTGGGGAGGGAGTTCGGTGGGCAAACGATGCTTTCCGGTTGCCCAATCAGGGAAGAGGGTTTGGTTGAGGTGGCCCACCTTGAGCCCTTGACTCAAAAGTCTGGTCTACTGGGCAGTGGGAGGATGTAGGGTTTGTTTAAGTAACCTTGACCCTAGCCTCTGACTCAGAAGCCTGAGAGGTGAGGCACCGGGCAGTGTGGTTTTCTTTAGGGACCATTCTCGGAGCTGACAACTGCTCGGCTGCGAGAGACTGTCCTAGCGGCTGAATAGGGCGGGTGAGCTTGGGCAGCATCCGACTCTTCTGTTTCGAGGGTATTTCGACCGTATTCAGTAATGCGCCGGTGGTCACGGTTAACCGTTGGGCGATCAGAGTGAGGGCTGATCTTTTCTAACCCGTTCTTCTAAGGAGGAAGGGGCCATTACCGCTTCCATGGATATGGACATGCTGATCGGCTGTCTTCACACCCCCACCGCACAAGACAGTACGACTTTACCGCCTCGTAGCACGATTACTCGTGCACTGCCCGAGTCCACTGCACTTGGTCTGACTGCTCCTCTATGACCTTGCTGGCAATGTTGCACTTTTTCGGGACGAAGTTCTAGCCAGTGTAGCCGGCCGAATCACTGGAGCAACGGAGCCCGGCTACCATGTCTCTAGGTGGCATCTTTAGGTCGGGGTTGGGCGAAAAGTTGAACCCTAACGCGAGTAGCCAGATGATCGGGATGCTTTCTGGTCCCACATCAATGCGAGGTCCGATTGGTCGAAAGTGTGGACCCAACAGTCAATCATGATTCAGTATCCACAGAATACCGGTTATCGATATCGCATCCAGAAGGGGTTCGATTTTCCAGAATATTATCGCCCCATACATTTCATATACGACGCACTGTACATATGTTTTTTGGCTTGGCTTTGGGTTTTTATTGGACGTAGTGCACCTTTGAAGGTTTCTTTACCGAAAACTCTAGCTTGAAAGGTTCGGACCGAGGACTGATCTTCCGGGTCCGGAAGCACCAATCGCTTTCAGCTGCATCTGCAAATTTTGTTGAGCTGAGTGGTTTGGTGAGTTCCACGGCTGTACGGTCAGAGGATAGAAAGACTGATAGGTCTTGGCTAGCCACTTCAGTTTCGTCCGTTGAGGACTGCTCTTCGGTGCTACACCCACAATGTCATTCGTCAAGATGCTCGAAGCGCAACAACTGCCCTACATCCGTGGCTGCTAGGTCAAGGGCTAAATCTTCCACATTGGCGACAAATCATTCCTCAAACATAGGATTCATTAAAATACTCACGGTCAACCGGATGCCAGTCGCCAATGCGCAGCGACCTACCCACCACCCCGAATCATCGGTGAACAGAACTGTGGCAGCCACAACCACTGTACGACAAATACGCCGCTATTACAGCTGACGATGCTGGTGATGAAACTACTCGACGTGAGTGAGGAAGAAATGGACAGAAACGGAAGTAAGTATGAAAAGTTACGCACCATGACAACAAAGGAGTAAGTGAATTGCATATGAGTGTATCTCGCGAGTTGGTAACTGTTCGGGCTAGGTAGAATATGAGGTTGACAGAAATTTAAAGACTGCGTCTACCTGATGAGCACCAAGAAGGACGAGAGTGGTTATGGAATATCGAAGACTTTTTGTGGATAACCTTCCGATATCGTACAAACTGAAACACGAGGCGGTCTCTGTGCAGTACATTCAGTCGAAGAAATCACAAACGAGGAACTGAGCTGAGTATTCTGTTAAAAACAAACTAGAGCACTGCACCTAAGTGATGAGCCCCAAGGCAAAAAAAGATCGTGGGTTATCGAAGGGCTTTCCGGCGACCTTATGGAAACGTACTAAGTGTGACAAGTGAACCCCTCAGTTGGGAACACTGTTGTAAGAGGTCATATTTTGTTGCCGGGGAACGAGTTCCCTGCGTTGTCGGTGCAACGCTCGGCTCTCCGTTTATTGCCTCATAACTCGACATGATGGCAGCTGACTAGGTTGGCAAGACGAGGCTTTTTTCTCAAAAGCGAAACGCTACCCAGTAATAAATTAAGTGACAGTTTATCAAACTTTCATAAAACGATGACTTCCCGGATTACTCCGATTAATTGAGTGTCCTTCGTTTTGTTGCGACAGTGCGAGCGAGATAGTACTGAGTAAACCGACCTGGCTCGGTGAGACTTTCTCATCAACAGGCTTTTTCAGGTATCAGGTAAAACAAAGTGAGCACTGCTTACAACTAGCATTGCTCTTTGGAATGGGAAAATTTGAGGACAAATGCCGTTCCACATGAGTCCCGAAGTGGAAGTTTATGACCTTGAAGGCACCATGCAAAAGACGGGTGACTCTATGACAGATTTATAAGTGGTAATCATACAAACCGAAACCTGCAATAAGATAATCGTTCAGCTGTAACACCCTTTCGGTGCTTAGCTGCCATGCCACCCGAAGGAAGCACGAGGGTTGGGATACTGCCAGGTTGTCCAAGCCTAGACAGGGGAAGTCGAGAGGCAGAGGTCGGGTTCGAACCACGGACCTTTCGGTCAGTAAATTCGCGCTCTAAACACTTGGCCATCTTGCCCCCACCGAAACCTGTTCTGAACACAGAGGCGGTGACGAAAGGTGTGTTGCTAATTTTATGGTTGACAAGTCAGCTAACGACACATTATCTGTAAGGCAGTTCTACGGTACTGCTTACGCGTCTTAGAAAGTTAACGTACATCGGTAAAAGTTGCTGAGAACTTTACTGACCTGGTACAGCTAGCTGTGCATGGAACTCGTGAGACGGATAGCGGGAATCCGTTTTGCTGGCCAAAAACGCTGCCTCACTGATGCCACAGTGGCTGTGGCGACGGAAGTCCACATCCCCTGCAACATCTTCCACATGCTCCTGTGAGATAAAACGGTGAAAACGAGAATAAGTGTTCACAGTTAGCACATAGGGCTGATCTAAGCTTGCGGAGAGCAAAAGATTGATCGTAGCGATAGGTCATACCTTGAGCAATCACATCTTCGGGCTTGTCGCCAATAGTACCAGTGCTGAAAAATCACGAAACACGTCCCCATTCGGACCCGTTCAGTGGTTAGCCAACGTGCCACCCGAAGGAAGCAAGGGGGCTAGGATACTGCCAGGTTGTCTTGATCTAGACGGGGGCAGTAGAAATGCCTGGGTCGGGCTCGAACCAATGACCTTCCGGCAAGTTCACGGTCGTCTCGAACACTCGACTTCTCATGACGATGTCATTTGGATTTTGCGGAATGTTTACAAACTTAGAGGGCATTTAAAATCAGCAAACAAAACCGTGGATGTGTGTCGGATAAGATGCGATCTAGGGAGTGCGTTTGGGCTAGCCTTCGTGATGGGTGGAGAAACGGCAACTCGACTAGCTGGTTATTAATGGTCGATGATCTGACCAATCGGAGTGCACCTGAATGTGGACGTGACAAGTACACTGAACAGTCGCCTAGTCGATGTTTAATTATTCTGAGTGACAAGCCCCCAAAGACTCCATTCTCAGATGCCCACGTGACGTACACGTTGCACTTCTAAATCAGTGGACTATCAAAAACAAGTGAGAGGGAACGGATACCGATAAATCATGGTGTTGAACACAGCCCACGGAAAATCAGACATAACGAAGTTCAAAAAAGTGCATCGACCGTCAACAAACTGACTGTTCGTGGACAACTCAATCCCAGATTCAAAACTGAATGAAGCTACAACCTTGTCCAGAACATCTTCAGACATTTGACGCTTGGTCGTCAACACGTATGGCGGAGAATCGCTGCGCAAGTGGGAATGATGCCGGGGCGACGACCAAGGACAAACAACACCTGTAATCCAATATCATTCGATCTGCGTAGAAGCATCACACAGAATATCGAATTGCGCTTAATCTGGGTCAGAGTTTACCCGGATTTCGATGTACAGCTGGTGTGGATCGATGATGATGTCTGTAGTGCGTCGTCCGCTTTCTCGAAAGACGGCGAATCCGACTAACGACTCAATGGGGGAAGGAGAACAAAACGTTGAGAATGGCTCGTATCAGTAACGTGTTTTGTTCAAATCCACCTAGATTTTTCGATTACTCCTGTCTAGACCTCGGATGGGCAGACAGAATAGTATCAAAACTCCCGTCGCGCGGTAACCACGCTTCGAACGACAGTCACGGCCGAGTGATGGGATTACAGTTGTAAATTCAAAACGGCTAACGGACGATGTTCCAGTTTTATCGTGAAAACCATGTGTCGCAGAGACAAAAGGCTGTGAGAATGTATAAGGATACACAATAGATGGGAAGAACTACAAATCTACCAGGTACCCAAAAGATTGTCAATATCGATCTAGCGGCCTTGCTTGATCACAACCGAATCAGTCGCAATACAGTTGCAAATGTGTTGTCAAAAACGATTCGTACAAGCTCTGAATCTGCCTTGGTTATGTAACACGAATCAATGGCGCCGATGACTCAACAGTCTTGTAGACCACTATACCTCGTTCGTGTTTTTGCGCTTTCCAGTTTAGTAACCAATCCTACCTGCTTAATTCATCATTAGGCACGTATTGACCTGAGGACAGGATCTCGAAGACATTACTGCTCGTCGCCGTGTTCTTACTATTCAAGCAAATCTAAATTATACAGTTACGCAGATATGTGGACGCTGCAAACGGAAAATGGCACTACAGAAGCAAGAATATGTGAGAAAAGGCTAATTCTTCAGTAGCGGACCTAAGGCCATCACACTGATGTGCCGCAATGGTCTCGCGGGCTACACTGGCTGGAACTTCGTTCCACCAGGTGTAAGCATGCCCGTAAGGTCAAAGGGGAGCAGTCTGACCAAGCGAAGCGAGTAATCGCGTTACAAGGCGGTCTGTCCTTTGCGACAAGAGCGTGAAGTAAACGCAGTAGAGTTTTCCCCCAGGCGAACAGTGTGTCCACATCCATGAATGCAGCGATGCTCCGGGAAGGGGGCACAAAGGAAATTCTACTGCCTCGTGAATCAGACTTCTGAGTGAGAGGCTAGGGACAATGTACCCGAACAAAGTCCTACACTCTCCCACTGACTCCTTGCCGGTATTCTTGTTATTAGGAATTCTTAGCGGAATATCACTTAGCCGCTGAATGCAGCGGACTTGACCGATCAGACTGGGTTCGAGTTGGCCGATTGTCCCTTAGTCTGGTTGTCGAGCCTGCCAATTGTAGAGATATCATCAGGACGTGCGAAGAAGTTTTCTATATTGGTGTGCATGATGTCTATTTAGGTTGGCAAACAGACGGAGGACCTATAAACTGAACGTTCATCATGCTGACCCACCGTCATTTGACTTTGGTCTTGAGATAATGACCCAATGCTGGATTCACAGATTTGGGCCAATCACGGGTTCCAACCACGGATAGAAGAGAACATGGGATACCTGCGGATTCGGGCCAGAATATTCGATTATACAAAACAATGCCATTAAGCGGACCGTATATACATAGCTTACACAATGTTGGTGTATCACGGGATTCACCCCTCAGGGGACATCTCCTACACACCCCGATTCTCCCATGAAGACATCGTAGTTCGAAAAACGCTTTGCAGGTTTCGAAGAGCACTGAAAAATTAGTACAGAGAGGAGTGGAGACGAACTACCCTAGAAGCGAGCAGTGGAGGCATTTAGTGCGAACCAGAATATGGTTGTGTATTCTTTCTCCTGCTGTTGTTCAGCGGAATATGTTGGGCGCACGACACGACAACTTTCTAAGAGAATACGCGAGCACTTTTCGTACCGGAATACCACTACTAACCTCAACAGTTTAACCAGAAGCTCAATTGCTCCAACTTAATTGCCACCGGGCACGTAGTCATGCCAAATGAGCCATTTCAAGTCATTTAGTGTGCCAAATAGACTACCAGTATCTATTCAACGGCATTGCTGGACTACAGCCAAGGTAGTCGCTAAACGCCTGCGAAACCCGGTACTGTGCTGTCAGAAGCGTTTCGTACGAACACTGAGTCTGCCTTGATCGTGTGACACCAATCAACCCGCCAAGTCACTCAGCGGCCCTCTAGACTGTCTCACAGAATCCAGTTAGATGCGGTGCGGGGCCGCAGACAACCAGTCGTTCGTGTCTCCGTTTTGCGTTTCACTAACCAATCTACGCTGCGTATTTCACTTTCCGTTCCTATTTTAACCATTAGATATGTATTGACCTGATGACGAGATCCCGAAAACACTGGTGCTCGTCATTGTGTTCCTTTTCAAACCATGGGGATATTTAGGCAAAAAGCATTATGTTTCTATTATTCGAAACACGGCTAAGTGCCTTCGCGGCTGTTATATCGTATTACACCAGCGAGAATCTGTGAAGACACTAATGAGACCAAGCCGATTCGAGGTGGAATACACTAATTCACCTAGGACAGGTCTGAAGCATCAGGTACCAAATATTTGATTGGTCAGTTTACAAAATATAATATAATCATAATTGTTCAGCTGTAACACCCTTCCGGTGCTTAGCTGACATGACACCCGGAGGAAGCATGAGAACTGGGATACTGCCAGGTCGCCCAAGCCTAGACAGGGGAAGTCGAGTGGCAGAGGTCGGTTTACAAAATAACTACGGCGAAGTAACTGAAGAAGAGTTGAATTCTTGCAAATCGGAGGCACGTTGCGAGACTGCAACCGATGAGGCCACGGGAGCTTAGCATAAGAACAAAAACACCGTAAGCTCACTTGAAACTTTTCAAGATGGATATCTCCAGCTCTACTGACCGTATTGTATCGATCCGTTGCAGCAGGGACCGGACTAAGTCTAGGCCTGCGATTGGTCAGAATTTCCTCCACTCCATACGGTTCTTCAGTCATCAGTTCGTTCGGTTCGAACAACAGTTCGACGGGATAGGTTTCTTCCGGCATCGAACTGTCATTGAGCTGCCCAGAAGTGAAGCTGCTACTTCCGTAATAAATGTTCGAAAAACTGCTCGACGATTCACAGTCAATGAAATCGTAAGGCAAAAATTCCGCATGTGCTATATTCTTCCGATCTTTTTCGACTGCATGGGGTGAAGTGCTGCGTTGAGAAACGAAACACTGGTTCCCGGTGGCGATTGCCAATGAACGTCGATCATGCATTGATTG